TTCTTATCACTGGCCTTGATCCTGACCCCAAAGTTATCCCTGATGGCAACTGATCGCAAAGCATTCTTGAAACGTAATGCATCAAGGAATAATGTGCCAACTGCTATATCTTTAGAACATAGAATTGGAGCATTCAGAACATCGTTATAAGAACATTCAACCATATTTTCAGAACTCACAAACTCCATAAGATAAGAGTTTGAATCATGTTCTTCCACTTCTTGTACTGTAATGACAATCTCAGCACGCATATTATCTTTCGATAATTTTACAAAGTTAGCCTCCTCAACTTCAGAATTCATTTCTTTGTATTCTTTTGGTGATGTACCATATATGTAATAAGACAAATTATATGGATGACCCTTAAGCCATGGACATATTCTACAAATCTCTTCTCTAAGTGCAGAAACAGTTAGTTCTCCTTTCTCAACTTTCACAGTCCTTTGTTTGCCACCATCATACCTCTTTCTGTGTTGGACATTGGTTTTAACCCAAATCCCTCCAAACTTAAATACAACGGCAATGTACTCTTTCTGCACTCCGCCCAAATTATTTTCAATATTGTCACCATAAGCCTGCAGTTTCAATATTTTAAAAGTTATTTAAAAATTATAAAACCGTTTAACTTAAATCATTCACCACTTACGAAATTGGTCGTGTTGGAACACATCATTAATTGCTTTCACTAAAATCACACATTTCTTGAACTTTCTGTTTCAAACAATTTTAAGCTGCAGATTAGTATAATATTTAAATAAGACATCATAATCACAACATAATCATTTAAGCCTATTCTTTGTCAACAAAGGCAGACAAAAATTCATGTAAAATTCCTTAAGACAAAAATTCTCAAAATTTTTCTTCACTGTTTGGTTCAAATGTATCCTAAGAAAAAACTTCTCAAGCAAAATATGCACGAAGACAAACACCTGTGAATATTAGCACGAAGATGAAACACCTGTGTCGCGAGAATAACAACGATTTATAAGCAAAATCAAGCACGAAGACCGATCAGCGATTTATAACAGCAGAGGAACTGGATACATGAGACGGCTGAGGAAGGGAAGTCGCGAGAATCGCCATTAAATAGAGGAATTTTTGCGGGAAGGAAGACGCGCCAGCACTATGCGGGAAGAAGAAAAAAATTCGGCGGGAAGAAGACTCCGTGAGCGTGCGTGGAGACGGAGTGGTAGAAATGATGTATAATAGGGTTTTGAGTGGTATTAGTGTAATATTAATAAATGAGGTGTTAGATATGTAAAATGACAGGTATATAGTGGTATGTATGTAAATTTCCCAAAAAAATATGAAGAAAGATTTTGTTTCTACTATCAATTTCTTGAAAGTGCCTCTAAAGCCTTTACTTTGCGAGTGTATACATAAGTCAATGAAATTTATTTCCATCCATTACTCACCATTATAGCTTGTCTCCACTCCAGCAAACAATCTTAAAATATGTTGAATTTTAGCATGGAGCAGAGGATGGTAGCTCAAACGAAGACCTGGAGGATTTCGGCAACCACAGTGAGCAAGGATTGCTCGGCTAGTTGCAGGTGCAGGAGACTCCTGCGTCTGAGGCTTCTTGAGAAGTTGTTGTTGGGGATTTTGACTGGTGAGAAAAGGTAAGAGGCCTCAATCAGCTGCTGTGGATGGAGAGCACTATGAGGGAGTAGCGGAAGGAGAAAGTGACGGGCTTTGAGCAGATCTGGATGGAGATTGAAGGGATTTACAACTTGGAGACAGGCTTCGGCTTGTGGGTTTGGGATCGTGAAGCAAGAAAGGTGGGGTTGGAAGTTAGCTTGACTTGGAGTGGGGTCTATAGATGGATGGGTAGGAGAAGAGATTGAGGGAAACGAACTCTGAAAAGCTTAGGGTGGAAGAAGTTTTGTTTAGGAACCACAAAATTACTTTGATTTCTTCCTTGATATCAAAGGAAAAATATAACGTGCTCAACAATTTATAATTATTGAGAGAACATCTGAATTTTTCTTTGCATAAAAGATTTGTTATCTTATAAAAATACACGAAAGAGTGAGAGAAATAAAAATATTATATCATATAATTTCAAAAAAAATTATAACTGCTTTTATAAATACACTAGTTATAATGAAAAAAAAATATTACAAATACACTGCTTTTACTTTACTTTGAATATATCTAACCAAACAAAAGAAACAGTTCTCTTGTGTTTACTTTGCACACAGCCAAACAACTTCAAAGTATTTAGAATGCACTACATTTACTTTACACTGCATTTACTTTACACTGCGTTTACTTTGCAGGCAACCAAACAGCCCCTAAGACAAAGAGGAGACCAGGAGGTAGAGACTAAAAGGGAAAAGTGAGAATGCCTCCCGTAGAACCTGTTTGAGCTGGTTAGAGGGTATGGGAAGAAGCATGAGGAGGTGGAGCATGAACAAAGGGGTGCTGAATTTGAGAGGAGATGGGTAGAATTCGAAAAGGAAAGAGGTGATTATGATCAAAGGGGGGATGGAATTGAAAGGGGAGGGACTTATTATAATCCAAGGGGTGCTGAATTTGAAAGGAAACTGTGGGAATTTGATGAAAGGCTTGGGTATGAGCATAGAAGGGATGATTGGAACACTTGGGGGGAACCACCCCCTTGGGTAAGGGGAGATTATGAAGGGAACAGAGGTGATATGAGGGAGAGGAAGTTGAAGATGCCTATTTTTGAGGGAAAGGATGCCCATGGATGAATCTATACGGTGGAAAGGTACTTTATCGTCAACAGGTTGACGGAGGGGTAGAGACTGATGGCAGCCGGGATGTGCTTGGAAGGGAAAGCTTTAGCATGGTACCAGTGGAGGGATACGAGGAGACTAATAAGGACCTGGAGGGAGTTTAAGGACTGCCTATTGGAACGTTTCTAAACCAGCAGGGGAGGGGACTTCTACGAGCAGTTCTTCTCTTTGATGCAGACGGGGATAGTGATGGAGTACCGCGAGCAATTTGAGTACCTTGCCAGTCGATTGGATCGGCTTCCAGAGACTATACTGGAGAGGAACTTTATGAAGGGACTGAAATCAAAGATCCGCGTAGCAGTCAGAGTGATGTGATCTCGGGACTTGGGAGAGTCTATGGACCTAGCTCAGTTGGTGGAGGATCAGAGGCACCTGAAAAAAAGAGGAGGCAGTAGATCAGGAGGCTCGTATAGGATGAACACCACCTTTTTGGCACCCAAGGAGCCAACACCGAGTACTCTTAAGGAGACTTCGAAGGAAAAGTCTGCTGGAGAAAAACCTGGTGACACTTTCAAGAAGCTCACAAAAACATAATTACAAGAGAAGAGGGCGAAGGGGATCTGTTTAAGATGTGACGAGATGTATACGTCAGGGCATAGGTGTAAGCACCGAACTCTTCAGATTCTTATCGTTTGTGATGAAGAAGGAATGGAGGAGGGTGTCGTCTTTCCACCTTGCGGACAAGGTGGATTTTTTGGAGGGTAGTATTGTTAGACCGTTCTATTGGACCGGTCCAGCCGGTCCGGCGGGACCGGCTTAGGCGGAATAGAGGCGGAAATCTCCGCCTCTCATGTACGTCATTCGGAGTGTAGGAGTAAAAAAAAAGCATTTTAGGAAGGATTTTTAAGGGAGTTAGGAGGGATATTTGAATGTAGGGACTGTTTAGAGATTTTCTTTTGAATTGTATGATTAAATAGTTTGTTTTCCTAGGGTTAGGGCATCTTGAATTTGGCTAAAATTTGAGATCTCTGAGGTTTTCTTTGGGCTCTAGCGGCGTCTAAAGATTGGGATTGATCGATCCTCCTCTCGAATAGAGGATCAATTGTATCTTGGTATTTTTTGTTCCCTTTCATCAAATAATACAAACTATCTACTAATTTCGTGATTTTGCATGGATTTGTGGAGAAATCTCGTTATTTTCCGAAGATTGATAGGAAATACTTGAGATCTACAAGTGTTTCCTATCAGAAAACAGTTCCGGAGTATTTACATTGCAGACAACCAAATAGCACTAAAGTATTCTAAAAACACTGCATTCCTTTTTTAGGCAACCAAATAACCCCTAAGAGAACAAACAAATTTGAATCCATAACAGGATGATCAAGTAAAGGTATCAATAAGAATACATATATTAACATAAGCTTACATTTACTCTGAAATTAAGTTTGCTACAATTATATAGCTCGTAGCTTTAAAAAGGTCTCTAAAGTTGAAAAATATGCTTTTCATTACCTCTCCAATATCCCATTCCTTTAACCAGATCGTGTCATCAGCACCTATATCTTGCTTGTCCCTAGAATTAGAAAACAAAGTATTCTTCAGTCAGAAAATAATGCTTAATAAAGTCCCAACACAGCATCGTATTCTATCTTAACCACGTATAATTATGATAAACAAAATTTTTTCAAAAGAGGCTAGCTAGCATGGTTGCTCTCTTTTATGAGAGAGATTATTTTTTCCATTATTTGCAGCTTCATTAGATAAAGAAGATCAGGAATCTCAATCACAAACCCTACAGGAACGCGCAGCTCCAACTCTACCCAACACAAGCCAAATTACATGGAAAAAAACTTGAGTTATATCATAGTTAGGATTGCAAACTTTGACTAGAGAGGTTATTGATCAAATTTGAAAATAATCTCTTTGCTATGCAAGTTTAAGGCCAAGACCGCAATATAGAGTCAACCTCTTGCACTGCGTGCACAATTTTTACCCATATGTATTAGGAATGTCAAGAAAAATTGTGCAAAACGCCTTAGCAAAATTTTAAGATGTAGTTTCAAAACTCTACACCTAAAGCAATATTCATATACAATGCATCTCCATGTTTAGTGTAACTAGACTTATTCTTTCGATCATTTAAGGTGGATTCAGCATAAATCTATTTGAACTAGCAAAAAACAAAACAAAATTCCGCTTGCATTCAGAAAAAAACAAAACGTTTCACTGATTTGAATTGTTATGAGAAAATGAATAATGTAAATTATCATGGAAAGCACAAAGTTCCTCTCCCCAACCTAGCATAAAAACCAACACCACCACCATCATCATCACCATTATCATTAGCCATATTCACAATTGGCCTTATGAAGTTTCCTTCATCATTTCTTCCTATTGAATGCTACATAATATACATTAATAAAATTTGCATAAATACTTGTACACTTTTATTTATGTTATCCTTTGTCTGGCTCTCATATTTCCTTATACTTTTGCGTACATATTATTTATCCATTTTATTAGGGTATCTTCATCTTTACTATTTTTAATAATTACTACTCCCATCATCTCTCCAAAATAATCATTTCTTTCTTAGTTTTATCACACATCCATGTCAGCTTTTTTATTTGTATAAAACTCAATTTGGAAGCCAATGATACTTATAGATTATATTCCTGTTATGTTATGTGTCCATTAATGGGAAAACTTGCTTCCATTCTATTGTTCCTTTTGCGAGGCTAGCCAAATAGGTACTAGTCCAACTTACCCTGCAGCTGCCTGGTTAGGTGCACTTTGAACAGCTTTAGGTCCATCAAGAGACCCTGATGATTGATTACTGCTGCTGCTAAAAAATTGAGGGATTGAACGTAAGGGGGCTTGCTCAGTTCCCATAGCCATGAAACCATTGGTGATGTTGGACTTGCTTGGTCCTGGTGAACTTCCAAATTGTTGCAATCGCGGTTCACCAACAAATGTTCCTGCAACAACCTAAAGTATGAATCTCGTATCAACCAGTTAAAATGAAATAAAGCAGTGTCTGCAGGTATGCAAAAACCATTGGTTCTTCCAGAGTTGCTTGGTCCTGGTGAACTCCCAAATTGTTGCATTGGTAGTTGCCCACCGACAGTTCCTGCAAAAGTCAGAAGCATGAATATCATGTCAACCGGTAAATATGGAAATAAAGCTGAATCTACAGGTTTGTATAAATCGAAAATCATAATCATTCGCTAGAAATTGAGCAAAGACGAATTATTTTATAGTTGATTATTTAGCTTAACTTTGTAATCAGAGTAATAAACTAGGGATACAAGGCTTTTATCCTCGGTTTTGGTTTCAGTTTGGACATGCTACATTAGCTTTAGATTCAATCATTTAGGTGCTCATTTTCGGTATTATTCTTTTAATAATCTTTAATAACTCAAGATTCAAAACATCTAAAATATAGATCCCATTCAATTGTAATTTTAGAATTAAAAATTATTTTAATTAAGAGAAAATGATCAAAATAGTCCTTTGACTTTTTATGAAGAATCAAAAAGATCTCCAATTATATTAAACAACAATTTTGGTCCATCAAATCTTTTAAAAGGAATCAAAATAGTCTCAAGGTGGGATTATTTTGGTTCATCTTTAAGGAGTTGAGGATCATTTAATATAGTTGAAGACTATTTTAATCTTTCATAAAAAGTCAATAGACCATTTTGATTCTTTTCACTTTTCATTAAGAACAATTTCTATATGCAAGAAACAAAGTACAAGTTCAGTTAACAAGCATAAATAGAACATCATAGAGGGTGGGTAAGGTGGGCTGATAGTGGGCTGTTCGGTTAGGATTAGATCAAGGCTGTTCGGTTAGGAGCAGGGGGGGCTCAGGCCATGAGAAGGAGATGGGTGAGGGAGGTCAGGCAGCTCGTGTGAGGAGATGTGGTCAGATGCAGGCTTCGTAAGTGGTTATAGTGGAGAGGAGAGGGCTCTGAGTGATTCGGTCATTTGCTATACGTGAATGAAAGGAGGCTTGAGGGAGAGAGACCCAACTACAGGTGGTCGGTGATGGCTTGAGAGCTGGAGTCGGACAGGACTGGCGGTGTGAGCTAGAGTCGGAACGGAACTTAGCAGCTTCTTATAGGGGTGCAAACGAGTCAAATCGAGCTTGAATCACGAGACAAATCTCGCGCTCGAACTTGAGTCAAGCTCAAAAGGCGAGCTCGGCTTGTGTCACTGAAAACAAGCTCACAAGCCTTCCACGGTTCGAGGTCCGCTTCCACGGTTCGTAGTTCACACATGCGGCGTAGCCAATTCCCGCCTTCAGTGTTTCACACTTCACATGCTCAGCCGATTCCGTTCTTCCGCGTTTCGCAGTTCACAGCTCGAGAGTCACGAGCCTTCCACCTCTCGTGTAAAATCGGGTGGTTCAATGACCATCCCACATATAATCGAGCCGTGATAATCCAACGGGTTAGAAATTCTACTCAAGCTTGACCTCGAAACTCGATAAGCTCAAATCACGTACTCGAGTCAGCTCATGAATCAGCTTGACTCGCCACAAGTCAACCAATGTTCATAGGGATCCTTAAACACATAGATTAAGAGTTCTAACCATTGGATCGACCTTTTATGGCCCTTAGATTATAGTTAGTGTGCCTAATCTACCTCTGCTTGTCGTCGATCCCTCTTATTGCTAGATTTTTATAGAAGTATATATATATATTTCTATACTTCGTACATAATCAAAAGATTAAATTCAAAATAATTTTTTTCTGCTTTTTACTTTTCTACGTTTACTAGATTAATTTAAATAAATCTGATGAGGACATCAACAGACGATATCGACGGGTCTATCAGCATAGGAATCGTAGATTGATGGCTACGATTCACAGTCTTTATTTTTGATGTATTTATGTATTGTAGTTTATTTATATGCTAGTTACATTTGTATCCTTTCTTTTGAGATTGCTTGAGTTGTGGTCCAAGGGGCATTTTAGTAATTGTTATTTTATTTTCTAGACCTATATATTGTGGCATCTTCTAATGTAAAAGGATGATAAATGAAATTTGAAATATTTTTCTTGTTTGATATCTTTGTGAGTTCTTGAGAGAAGAAACCCTAGGAGAGGGTCTTGCAACACCCGTCAGCCACCGATGAATTCTGGGACTCGCGTTCGTCATCATTCTTCCCCTTCACACCCGGCCAAACCACTCTCCTTTCTCCCACCACCAGCCAACCCCTCCCTATTTCCCAAAACTAACGGCACCCAGCCCCTTTTTCCCATCACCCGCTGTCCCCTCCCCATCTCTCTCAAGCCGCCGGCCACCTGCTCCATTCCAGCCATAGGCCTCATTTTCCCCCATTGAATCTACAATCAATTAGCCTTTACCACTTTCCTCTTTTGGGATTTATTAATTTGGGAAAGACTATAAATTCAAATTCAAATTAGTTTGAATTTCAAATCATCCCAATTAATATAATGCTCTCTTAGGAAGCTAGCAAATTAATCCTCCAATCTGAATTAATGTTAGATTTATTTCTTAATCTTCATTAATTGCTTGGGTCCCAAATACAATGCATCTAGACACCTTTCCCCCTCTCTTATGGTTGGCCTCCCTTTCTCTCTCCTTTCCATTATTTCTTTCCTCAAATGAAGCCCCAATTAAGTATCTAATTGATACTCTCCCCCTCTTAATTTACCTCTTGATTTTGAAATTCAAAATCTAAATTTTGATATTTCAAATTAGGAAAATCTGAAGCCTAATTCACATTTTAGTTTTTCTACAACCCGTATCCTAAAGCCTAAAGCTCACCCTTGGCCTAAGCCCATCCCCTCCTCATAAGGCCGACCACCACTCTCCTCTACCCTCCCTTTCTCAAATCACCGGCCTACCTTTGATCCACCAAAGGAAGCTTCTTGTTCATGGATGGCCGATCCCGACGTTGATCTCAGGTTCGTATATGATGACCAAAGAAGGACGTACATTCTTCGATCTACCTTCTTCGATTTGAACTTGAACGTCGACGACTCTGTGGAAGGTTACATTGACCGCATCACCTTCACGTTGGCACCGTCAATTGAGGAACACCTCCCAATCGGATCGTGATAGATTATGGGACGTCCACCAATCCATCCGTCGCCGGCAACCTTTCCATCAATGAAGATCTTAGGCTTCTTCTTCCTAGTGGTGATCTCTTTTCTAGTGTGGAGTATCTTCTTCCGCTAACCCCAAGAGTGAATGAGTGAAAAGGTCCTCAAGGTGAACCTCTTATTATTAAATTGTGGATTTTTGTTATGCGCTCATAATACTTACTCTTGTCATTGAAGTTTGATTGAATTGTCTTGGTTAATCTAAAGTGTAGTTCTTGCCTAAGCAAGTTGAAAACTACGAATTTCTCAAATCCTTCTTTGTTGTAAATGATAATTTTATATTGGGAAGTTTTGAACAATTGTTCTTCTTAATTTCGTGTTAACTCCTAGTAGTTTCACATCAAAACCAATATGAATAATTTCTAGCATAGGTTCTCTACATAGTTCCCCTTTTACCACTTCATCGAATTAATCTTAATCCTTATCCAAAAGCCAAAAAGAGCTCAATGTATCCTTCTTTCTCATTCAATCATATAATGCGGCATAAGGAGTTGATACGAGCTCGATGAAATCCTTTTAGGGGTTGTTTGTTTGATGTATCAGGAGTGTAGAATAGAATAAATATAGAGGTAGTAAATTTTTAGTGTTTTAAAGTATTTCTCTAACGTGGTTTAAATACCTCCAACCACTCATTTTTTATGAGTTTGAAACCAGTTCTAATTAAGTGAGCTCCAAATATATAATTTCCTCGCAATCTCCAGCTCTCCCTTTGTTCGTGAACTCTAGTATCCCCTTGCTCGATAATGAACTATGGCTCTCCCCTGCTCATAAATTCCAGCGTCCCCTGCTTACACATGACTTCAGCCTTTCCTACGAAACCTTTAGCATCTTTGTGCTCGCTCATGACCTCTAGCTATCCCCACCTGCACAAACTCTGTATCTAATTCCTTCCTAACATTAAAATCTGCTTATGGTCGTACATGCATAATCTTGTGCTTGAGAAGTTCATGTGTCATTAGTGCAAAGTTTTAATAGATAGCAGGTAAGTACTATGAGCTACATTTGTGTAAAGCTTGTAAGCAAACCGGGAAGCTCACTGATCAACCAAAAAAAGAGCTTACAATTCAGAACAGCTTGGTATGTGCTATCAAAAGAATTTCTCTTAATAGTCCATAATATTCAAAAAAGTTAAAAAAAAAAAACCTTCAATTTTTAGTCTCTTGGACCTTGGGATTTAGTTACCTAGCAATATTTTTTTATGTTCTTACTGCAATAAATAGAATATTGTTATAGAATGAATCTATAGGAAAGAGGAAAAGAAAAGAATATTGATTATCTACTTTAAAAACGAGACAGGAAATAATGAAGATCTTACCAGAAGCACCAAATTTCATCTCAGATCCACCTGAAATTTGACTTGCAATTTTGGGAAAGCTTGGCTGAGTAAAAACAGTATTTGACGGAGTTCCTGATATCAGGCTTCCAGAACTGAACAAAAATATTTTAAGTAAACAACCACAAATGCTGCTCTTTCTATCTTTTTATTATTAACGTGGAATCAATTTCAGGCAGAGGATGCCATACCTCATGAAAGGTGCAACACTAGCTGATGTTCCAAGCTGACTAAAACTTGAAAATGTAGGTGGTTTATTACTCAAAGGACTGACAGTCAAAGTGTTACTACTAATGGAAAATTGATTCACTGCAGTAGGACCAGAGCTTCGTATTACATACGGACTCCGAAGTAGATTATCAAATTCAGCTACCTTTGAATTCCATAAGTTTCTCTCCCTTTCGACCTGCAATAAGAACAACGCCATATTCAACTACATGCTGTATGATGTTTCATCAACGATTCATAAATGAAAATAGTAGATAGATATCCATCAATTTCAGGGTAACCTCTAAACGCAATTGTAACAAGATATACTGTGAATAATAGATTTTCAAATTACCTAGTATTAGATCCAGTAATCAGATTGACCATGAGAGAGAGTTTAGAAGAAATCAAAAGTATATAGATTAAAATTTTGACAGTCTGATCTATTAATGAAAATTACCAATAATGGTAGTTCCTCGATTGCATTACTGAAAATGAAAAACAAGTGATTAGGAGTATGTTTGGCATTTGCCACAAAGCTAATTTAAACTCCACATCTCCATCACCCCCACCATTAATGATGGGGTTGAAGTTGAATAAGTGCACAAAATTTTCTTGGAAGTATTCACAAGACTCACATGTAGGGGTGCCAAAAATTGACACGACCTCATATGGCACTAAAATTTCACAAAAGTGATATCATCAAAAAAAAAAAAAAGCAAATAATGAAAAGGGGATTAGATCTTGAGGATGATTCAACAGATTTACCACGAATGTGTTTTGGGCAACAAATAGCTAAGAGATCAAAGAAATAGAAAATATTGAAATTTTGACAATCAAATCTATTGATGAATATTAAAAATAATGATTATTCCCACATCGCATCATCAAGAATAAACAAGTCACCCAGAGTTCACAGCTGAAGACATTGTTGAACGGACACCTGATAAATAAGATCAGGAGGCAGAAAATATCAATAACTGGATGAAGATAATGTGGGCAGCAAGGATGGCATGGTTGAACAATCCATGGAGTCTTATATGTCCAGGCCACCTTGATAAGGATTAATTTACTTATAAATAAGAATATATCCTGAATTAGAAGATCAATCCAATCCTCTCAAATCTTCTCTCCCTATCTTCCAACTGAAAATCCAATTTAGCATCACAAACCCTAACTCCTCCCTTACCACTGCCACCCCTAGCTTGCCAGCTACTACTAGTGCCGCCAATTACCATTACTGCCCACTTTCACTGCCTGCAAGCTTTCAGAACAGCCATCTTTGCACTCTGCTTTCCTACTGCTGCCACCAGGAGATCTTCGGGTGCAAGTCGAGCCTTGTGACAAGGTAAAAAGTTTCTGGTGGTTGTTCTGGCAAAACTATAATATTAAAGCAATCTGTGGTATAAGGGAACTTGTTGTCCGATAACAAGAAAAAAAATTTACTTCGAGTTATCTGTATTTTAATTAATAGATCATTAGGATTCTATTAGAGAAATTATGGTACTATTTAAGTTGTGCAAATAAACCATTAATTATAACACAATGAAATGAGATACACTCAGCTGGTAGAGGAAAGGAGTTAGTGAGGAGAAATAATAACAGCAATAAATCACCATTCAGCTTACAATTGACTGCAGTGGTAACCCTCTTTTTGCATCCTCATATGCATTTGCACGCAATTCTTCATAACTAATATCACCAACAATATCACATGGAAGACTGAAAACAAAGCACACAATCAGAAGCAAATTAAACATCATCATATGACAATTTCCAAACAATAAGTGAATGGAATAAAATTCATACTGTACCATATTATTTTTAAAAAATTTCTAAGAGCATAATTTGTCTAAAGTTGCTGCATAAAAAAGTATAAAACTCACACATCGCATGATATTAAAGCTCTTCAATATTATCTTCCTTACTATTTCCAGTGGCCATAACAAGTAAGCTTCCAAAGAGGTGCCTCATTTTTTAGATCCTCTATTATTTGACGTTTACATGACTCGGGATCTGTACACCTATATGATCAAAAACAAAAATTGTTTGAAAAATCTTACTAGCAAGAAAAACATAAATGTAATGCAGGCAAAGGGCGGAAGGGGTGTTATCCTTGAGCTATATAAGGAAAACTTACTCATGAACGGCTGCTTGTTTTTGAGTATCTGTTTCTTGAGAGGACGTAGAGTTTGTTGTAGCTGTGGGCCGGATCCACTTATTTTCAAACAGCTGGCCCAAAAAGCACGATATTAGTATAAATGAAATCACACATATAAAGAGCAGACTTGTCGATAAATAATATTCTGATAATAAAATTTACATTAAAGAACGGAAAAATCTTGTATTGTACGTTGAGAAATTCACTACAAAGCAGCAAGAAGACCAACCTTAGAAGGATTTTGATTTCTAGCAACAAAATTGTTCACTCCACTCAACTGGGTAGTATCCTGAACCCCAAATCCAAATGTATTGGGCTTTGGTTGCTGACTGGCTCGTGAAAACTGTGAAGAGCTTTGGGAGCCAAATCCAAAAGGATTGGACCTTGTTTGTGGCTGGGTAAGATGGAGAAACTTACAACGGTCTCCATACTGACAACTAGACAGAAGTGATGCAAGCGCATGAGTTTTCAAAGTTCAAAAAAAGGTTATGATTGTGTATGTTCTAATATATATTAAAAAAATTAAGGACAATATTATAAAAGTTCCAATGAAGGGTGAAAGATAAATATTCAATTGAAAGCAAATGCAATCTCAAAACAAAATAAAATCACTTAAAGCACAAAATTAAATACATTTTAATGGAGAAGGAAGTACAAGAATAGCAAATTACGATAATATGAACTGAGACCCATGTTTGTGTGTTTGTACCATGCTTGAGTATTATTGAATTTGCTAGTTACAAGAAAAAGGCTATTTTGCACAAATAAAAGAACAATCCGGTAGAAGTAAGAAACCATATAACATGGCTCTTGTTAAACAGAACAGTTATCACTTCTTTTACCATTTATTAGCCTCTGTCAAGCAATATGGATGAAGAGCATCAGCCTAGCAGCTGATAGCATACTTGTGACCATCATCTCAAGTCAGACTATAATGAGGTGATTAACTGCTGAAGACTCTCAGCTCTTCCTAATGATATTCAATTCCCCATTGTTGCTGAACCATTTCCTTGGTTCTGCAAACTGCAACTGCATCATAGAGAGAAATTCTTTTGGTGGGGGCTTTTAAAGGATGCTATTCCCACCAACAAATGGCTGCTTAGAAGAGGACTTACTTCATCAATGTATTGACAATTGGGTTACCAACTAGAGGAAAATACATAATATGACAACTGTGGTTGATCGAAATATTCAAAGTTCAGGCCAGATGGGCCCTTACAATACCAACATTTTCCAACTTTCATGATCTCCTTGCAGAATTCAGCCTGCTTAAGAAATCTGACATTGCATGAGCTTGAATTTATTGTGCGGCCATTCACCAAAACTGGAGTAATCATAATGCCACTAAACACAACCAGCCAAAAGCAACTCCAACTATTTTGGCGGCAACAATTCTTAAGGCCTTAACTAAGCCATGGACTTCTCATTTCCAAGAGCAATGGAGCACTACTTGGCCCTCATTAGCCATTCTCAACTTCATTGTGGATTCCCCACCCCAAATCATGGTGGATTAAAGCCAATATTGTCATATTGATGGAGCTCTCCTTCCCTCTCACAAAGTTGGACTCGGTTGATGATGAGGGCAGTTTTATAATGGCGGCTGGCACTGCTTGGGAGCATTGGGATAGCACAATGGTTGAAATGCAAGAAGTTGTCTTTCTTAAGCACTTTATTCAACTATGGATATATGAGACTAAGGGCATTATTATTGAGGGTGACAATTATAGTGATGAGGACATCGCTCAGAGATTCAAACACGTGTACCGGCGACAGAATCGTAGATCGACGGCTACGATTCAGCATCTTTACTTTTGACGCATTATGTTTTATTTAGTCTTGTTGTATGCATTATGTTTTATTTAGTTTTGTTATTTTCCAATTTTATCCCTATGGGGAGTGTCTTGTTATTGTAGCCCGGAGGGAAAGTTTGTAATTTTCCTTTTTCATGTTCGAGGTCTATATATAGTGGCCCTATGTGTTGTAGTAGAATGATGAATGATTAATGAAAAATTTTCTTTGCTTCTTCTTCTTGTGTGAGCACTAGAGAAGGGAGAGAGAGAGCTCGATGTGAGCAAGCGCAATACCCACCAGTCGTCGGAAGAGTCCACGGCTCGTGGTTCCATTTATTTCAATTTGTTTTATTCTTTCCTCCCCATTCCACCCACCGACCCCTCCTAGCTCTTCCACCCTGGCCATCCTCCCCACCTAAATTCTCTCCCAAATTCCACCACCTCAAGCCCCAACCGATGGCCCAAGCCCCTCTCCTCCAACCCGACCCCAACTCCTCTCCACTTCCCCTTGCCGCCGCCCCTCACATGGCTCCTTACCATTATGATGACTCCAAACATCATCATGGCTCCTTAGATTGAGTCAGGCAAGATAGGAAAGTTTTTCATCATTTGAAATTAAAATTTGAATTTAAAAAACTTTCCTAATTTGCAAAGTTCCAAATAAGGAAAATTTTTAAATTTCAATCCGATTTAATTTTAAATTAAAGATGGTCATTTATTCTCTTTCCTATTTGGCAAACCTCATTTGGAAACTTGTTAAAATCTTCCCCATACCCCTCCATCCCACTTGAATTTGAATTCAAAATTCAATAAATCCCACCAATTTCACTTAAAATCTGAAATTAATTTCAGATCTTGGTTAAAACTTTCCCCTCCCTTTTTCTAACCTAATCCAAGCACTCATACAAACCGCCCCTTCCCCTTCTCCCCACCATGACCGCCTCTCTTTCGCTTGCATCCCCTCCATTGGAAAACTTTAGCTCTCTAATGAAACTTGACACCAAGAGAAGAAGACAAACGCCTCTCTCATTCTCATCGTCCTTGATGCATGGCCGATCCTGAGGTCAACCACGGCTTCGCTTACAACGCCCGAGGGGACATCAACATTCTCTGATACCCTTTCTACGAGCCCGACTGGGAATACGACGAATCGGTGGAAGACTACGTCAACTGAATCCTCTACTGCTTAGCGGAGACAATTGACCTTCAAAAACCTACGACGCATTGGCTTCTCATTGGGAAATCTACCCCTTCTCCATCCTCGGCTACCTCTCCATCAACAAAGGCCGTCAGTACTATCTTCCTAGTGGTAGTCTCTTTCCTCATATGCTTCGTCTTCACCTGCTAACCCCTAAAGAGTGATTGAGTGAGAAGGAATTCTAAGTGACTATATCTTGATGTTACACTATGATTCTTGTTTACTTGCTATTAGCATTATTATTTTGTTTCGTAGTTATTGTGATTGTCTTGTTATCCTACTTGTAACTTTTGTCATCACTTAATCTTTTATTGAAAATTCTACGAGTTTGAATTGAGTGAAGCATAAGTTCTTAAATAGCAAAGTTCATGTTCAATATTTATTGTTAAAACCTAAGCAACTCTTGCCGCATGTTTGTTTCACATCATATAGTCTCCTTAACTTCCTCCGACAAAGCTTCCAACCAAATAGGTGGCATTCCCTACCCTTTCAAACTCCAGATCTAGGTTTCCTTATTTAATTTCAGCAGATTATCTTCCAGTATAATCCACTGCAACAAAGTTGCAGATATTTGTGCATGCTAGGTTTAAGATGTTCTTTTGTACAGATCAAAAATAGATGTAGAAACAATCTTCCTTCTTCGTTTTTGCATTAGTTGAAGAAATATGGAGATGGTGTTTTGCGCAGCTAGTTATACTTTTGGTATATTAATGGTTTAGTAATGAAAGCAATATGCACATTTCAGTAATGAGTCATGGAAAGCTCAAAGCAATTGCTGTCGGTCTCCTTGATCGCATTTAGTTTTTAGTGGAAAAAGATAAACTCTTAATTGCCATTTTATGTAAAGATTTATAAATTTTTCAATTAAAATTTATCCCAATTGTCTACGCAATTGTTTGTGATATTGAAAAATTAATTTATTTTTCATATTATATTTTTTTATCTTTTTTTTCTTCAACTGTAATTTTGTAAAAGAAGAAAGTACATGGAGCATCGGGCCCAAACACAGGATAGATAAAATATCTCACCTTTGAAAAAATTTGTTTTTGATTGACACATAAATGAAAATTCAAACCTTACCTCTTAATTATCAATCATCTAAAAAAATTAGATATTGTCCACCTGTTGATCCTCTCGAAACATGTCATATGATGGAATATACCATCAAAAGCTTTTGCTTGTTAAAATAAATATCTATGGAAACTTAGTCCTTAGAAAAAAATTTGTATAAGAATGCCCTAACCAAAAAATAGTTAGGATGAGCTTTGCAGTATTAGTATTACTATGAGATAGGGGTGTAAGTGAGCCGAGCCAGCTCGCGTCACAAGCCTGCTTGAGCTCGACTCATTAATGAACTTGTGAGCCGAGCTTATAGAGCCGCGAGCTCGAGCTCGAGTTCAAGCTTGATGAGGCTTGGCTCATGAGCTAGCGAGCTGGCTCGAATCATCTTTTAAATAATTATTATTTATATTTAAATGTTTAAAATAAAATTAATAATTATAGTGCACATAATAAATGTAATATATATATATATATATAATGTTTCTAAAGCATAGCTTTCATTTTAAAAGACAACAATGAGTACAGGTGTAGCTTATAAGGCATTAAAACATATAGCTTTTAAGGCAAATAAAAAGCTCTAAAGGCTAATTAAAGCATACAACTTTTATTCTAAACTGGTTCTTCTTCTGCCTGTTCTTCTACTTCCGCCCGCAACCCGCCTTCTCATTATTTTTTCAGCAAACTCATGAGCCCCCAATTACTACCATGAGCCAAGCTCGAGCTCGCCTCCTGAGCTCGAGTTAGGCATGACTCAAGCTCGACTCATTTACATCCATGCTTTGAGATGAGTGCAATAAATAATTAATTTGTATTGCACTCATCTTAAAATAAATTTGAGGGCTTCAAGGCTCATCCTAACTGAAAATTTTGTCAGGTTATCCTGACCCTAACTTTTTTTTCCAACTTAATTATTAGTTTTCTTATAATCGAAGAAATGATCCAACTATTTTTACTCCCCATTCTACCAAATATGCTAATTGAGCTGCAACTAGTTACCTGTATTACAAACAATACATACTCTACAGTTGTAGGATAACTAAGTGCAAAGCTCTAAACATCAACATCAGTGCGCTCTAAATATTATAAAGGCACTGTACCAGTTGCAAGTTATGATACCTACAACAACAACAACAACATCAAGCCTTTATCCCACTATGTGGGATCGACTACATGAATCCTTTTTCTCCATTTGGTCCTATTACGAGTCAAATTCTCATTTAAATCTTATAAATAAATGTATTTTCTAATGTTTTCTAATAAAGTTTTTTTAGGTCTGCCTATACCTTTCTTAACATATGCAAAATCTAATACATCTACTCTCCTAAATGGGTCATCGGAAGGCTGTTATTTTATGTGACCAAACCATCTAAGGAGACTCTATATAATCTTATATGCCACTGGAGCTACTGCAACCTTGTCACATATATACTTGTTTTGTATCATGTCTCTAAGAGTAAAGTCACTCATCCACTCGAGCATCTCATCACTGCAACACTTAACTTAATATTATGCTTCTCTTTTAATGACCAACATTCTGCACCATAAAGAATTGCAGGTCTCACCACCATCTTATATAATTTTTCCTTAAATTTGAGAGAGACTTTTCACACAACAAGCCCGATGCATTCCTCCACTTCAACCATCCATCTTGAATTATAAATAATAATATCCCCATCTATTTCACCATCACTCTGAACAATAGACCCAAGATATAAAACTTGTGCTCATTATTATTAATGACCCAAGTTCCGATACCTATTGCAAAAAAAAAAAAAAAATGCCGACTCCCATGATCCTATCTTTGACCACCATTTCAACAGAATTCACCGAAACATATACACATCAACAATTATATTGTTCCAAAAAGGCCACACGTAAAGAGTTTAATTTTATAAAGTATAAATCATACAGGAAAGAAAAATAACAAAAATAGTTGTACGATTTCTAGATGTTTTAATTCTATTCTGCCCTAATTGGATGAAGCTAACAAGGAGAGAATACGGAAGTGATTCCACGCGTGCTAGTAAAACGCATGCACGGAAAAACGGAACTGAGGGTTTTAAACGGAGAAGGGTACCTTCCGCGTTGGAAATTTCTGCAGGGCTCCCGCCTTGGAATCATATCCTAGGTCTACGGGAGTCCACAAGCAGGGCGTCGAACTAGCTTTCAGTAAGTCTTATCAGTTGGCGGTTCTATAGGATGGGGCAATGGAGGAGGAAGGCCACATTAGCAGCCGAGACGGCCAAAGGCATATGAGGCTACAGCGAAGGAGAAAAGCAAAGGTGTAGACGGGGAGAAATAAAAGAGTAACAGACCTATTCATATTCATATTTATATAATAGATTAATATTCAAATTACAAAAAAATGTTATTATTAATTTATTAAAATTATAAATATATAATTTCATTAAATATATTTATTTTGATGTGATGTAGATATTAAGAAATTATATAATTAAATGTAAAAAAATTGATGCTGCATATTCAAATATTTAAAAATTTTATGATATTGCATATAATTTGCCTTAAAAAATTTTCATGCACTTAAACTCATGAATAAGCCCGCCAATTATGAAATCATTATCATCTATAAGTTAGTCCTAATCGTAAGCCTCGAGCTTCACCAATTATGTTTGCAAGCTCCCAACTTCCATGGTTGCATTTGCTCTTATTTGTGAGCCCCGACAAGCACCCATTATAATCAGAATTCTTGTTCTAGCACACGTCGTTGACCTAATTTCACGATTTTATTTCAAACATATTTGAAATTTAATCTCATTTAAATCACTTTTTTGTGTCTTCAATAAGTATTTAAAGAATACAAAAGAGAGTTAGTGAATTGATAATAGGGATAATTTGGTGGGAAATGCAACAAGAGTTCATCACATTTTTTAATGCTAACTCTTGAATTATCTTAAAGAAACTTCTCATTTAGAGTTGTATTGTGTATAGAAACAAATACTTATCCTCTACATACGTTTAAATCAATTAATTAATTATATAATAAGCTTTAGGTATTCTAAAAAATTGATAATGTATTATATGATATAAATTGAATTAATCATAACATCATTAAATTTCTCTAATGCATTTCCATGATTTATAATTTCCTTATAAGTGTTTAAATCATAATATATTTATATAATTATAACAATTATTAAAATATAATTATAATATTCCTTTAAAATAAAAGTTTATATTTTTAATCTTAAATGTAATATTAATAATGTATGCGTTGATCTTGTATATGAGTTGAACTTGAGTGGTTTACACAGCTCTCCATGACCTATTGGTTGAGAGCTTAGGCTTTCAACTAAGAGGTCTAAGATTCGAGTATAAGTGTATGCGTTGTGTGTATAAATTTATCTTAAATGACTTAAATGTCCAAAAAAAAAAACATTAAGTGGTTTCTCTTACCGACCCATAAACTTCTATAAATAACCATTTTCTCTCCACATTAAAATTAATAGTAATTTCACCCTTTACAGTTCCCAGCACACACCTTTTGTCTGTCAAAAGCAAAACCTTGGCTTCTTCTCAACAGTCAATCAAGTTTTTTATCCGACATCTGAACTGTATGACTTGAGTTTTTATTTGGTTCAGTTGACCGGATGCAAGAAGCATCCGGTCGTAGGCAAAAAAAACTCGGTATCATGGTGTACCGAGTTTTTCAAAAAAATTGGTACACCACGGTACCGAGTTTTTTTTGCCTACGACCGGATGCTTCTCTGCATCCGGTCGGAGGACGTAATAATTGTTCATGACTTAGGTAGCTTTCGTACAACTAAGTATAAAAATTTTTAATTCAAGAAAATTTTGTACTAAAATATCATTTTAGAAAGCAGCCAAAAAACTGTCCCAAACGAAGCATTAGGGTTCGTTTGGACGGCTTTTTTACTGCTTCTTAAATCAGAATTTTAGTTAAAAAAAAAAAAAACTAGAGAATAGATTTAAGAAGCAATAAGAAAGCCATTCCACCCAAAGCCTTGGGCGACTTATTTACTATTTTCTAAAGCAGCATTTTAGTATATAAAATTTTTAAACTAAAAATTTTTTTACTGGAAAGTTGCTTCAAAAAATAGTAAGAAAGTCGTCCCACAAACGAAGCCTAAAAAGATCATTTAATTCACACACCAGCTGCCTTGAACAGTGGAACTAAAGCCTGTAATGGCTATGGGATGGCTGTGCGTGATCATCGTTGATGGAATTCATATTCACTCTCTTATATGAGTTATATCAGTAAAATGACACCAAATGCCTCACATAACAACAATAGCATCAATCAGCATAAAATTCTTATAAAAGGTGTTCAATGAAAATCTCAGGTGGTCAAGAATAGAATAGAACAAAAAAAGGATTCCAGTTATTGTTAAATTCGCGAAAAACAATCCCACGGAGAATTTTAAATCAAGAAAACTTACAAAATAGATCGACAAAAGCAGACACGGCGAAGAAATTACATTATAGAAAATCTGCCAGGGTTGGGCATCTTACGGTTTCAGCCGATGACAATGAAAATCAATTTTCTAACAATCACAGCGATGTATCCATTCATGAAGCCGTGCGTAATCCTGGGCAAAAACATCTCTGAATATATCAAAGATTAGTCAAACATACTCCAATCTGCAAAAGAGCAGTGCTTCTCTCACTTCAGTTTTGTTTGGGATGACTTTTTTGCTACTTCTTAAAACAGCTTTTAAGTACAAAAATTTCAACTTTTATACTAAAAAACTATTTTAGAAGCAGTAAAAAAACCGTCCCAAACGAAGCCTTCATCATTTCCCGCAGCAAGCCACAAGAGCATAACCGTTCACCAAATAACATTTCAGCTCTGATATGCCATGCAGCAGAGTCATGTTGTGTTTGGTAGTGTTGCGTGTAAAGAATGCGGCAGGACATTGCTCGTGCATAACGACTTGCCAGCACTGTATTAGGCTTTATTTGGGGCAGCTTCCCTGCTGCTTCTTAAAGCAACATTTTAGTACAAAATTAAATTAAAATTTTTGTACTAAAAAATTGCTTTAAGAAGCAATAAGAAAGTCGTCCCAAACAAAGCCTTAATCATGGATGTAGAAGGTGATTCCTGACTCGGAATAAGCAGGATATTGTTGAGTCGTCCTTTTGTCCAAGTAAATGTTGTCATGTTACCGAAGATGGTGACTATGAGGCAGTAACAGCAAGGTGATCCAAGCTTGTATTTTTGTCCAGCGAGCACATACTCCCAGTAAATGTATCTATATCAAAATCATAACCAAGTTTCATTGATATCATCAAGAGCAGACAATAAAATTACTACATGGAAGCCACAAGTATAGAGGTAAGAAATTTCTCTCGACAGAAAAGGAATGAAGGCACATTTAAACTCTCTACAGATGTCCTCAGTTGATTATTAGGTGTTAAATCAGAGAGAAATCTCGAGCACTTCCAATATCAGAGCTTATGGTCCACCGATTACAACAGAGTCATGGTCAACATAGCTACTTTGAAACAATATAGTATTACAAAAAAAGTGTGCTTTGATGGCTCTAGATCCTACCATATCTGAACTTAGATATGCAAATTCAATTGTATGGGCACAACAAATGGGACAATACGCCCACTTGCTCTGGTTTAGGGAAAATAAAAAGTGCAGTTTACCATTTAAGTTTAATTTCACAAGGATGAGACTCATGCTGATATGGGAGAGCGAACAAGTATATATATGACACAATACTAAACAAAAAGAGATCAATGCGGTTTAATAGTGTTGGTTTGTCTAAGAATTTGTTTGGGATAGGCTTTCTTAATTTTAGTACAAAATTTTTATTTTTTTATTAAAACAGCTTTTTAGTACAAATATTAATAATTTTATACTAGAAAGTTGTTTTAATAAGCAGTAAAAAAGTCATCCCAAACGAAACCTAAGTCTTTGCCGGAGCTGTTGTCCATCTGCAGCTACAAAAGTATAGGATTAAGGGAAGGTTTGCAGTCAGCCATGCTGCATTTTTTTAGAAGTTCATGTGTATACTTCTCCGGATTACGGAATAGTCCGAAAGGTATAGGAAGAAACTGAATTCCTAGAAAGAATGAGATGGAACCTTGCCGTTTCATTTTGAATTCCATATGCAAGTTTTGTATGAGCGTTAAAACAGCTTTGTTGCTACTGCCAGTAATAAGAATGCGGTTGACACATATGAGAAGGCATAATGATGGGGGCATCGACAGGAGATTCCGGCGCGCCTATCAGAGACGACACCGGAGATCGACAACTATGATGGATAGCCTTTACTACTGATGATTTGTTGTATCTGCAGTTCTTACATTACTTGTTGCTTTTCAGTTTTTTCCCATTTTACCCTTGTGGGTATTAGTTTTATCTTGTAGCCCGAGGGGCATTTTAGACTTTTGCATTTGCTTTCATTTGGAGCCTATTTATATGGCCCCTTGTATCATGTATGAGGTAATGAATTATTGAATGAAATTTTCTACTATTGATCTCTTTGTGAGTTCTTCATTTCCCTAGTTCTCTCCGTGAGTTCTTGAGGGAAATTCCGTGGATCTCTGTGTGAGTTCCGGTATCCTTATTACTTCCCTTTGAGAGCTTGAAGAAGAGGTGCGTGAGTTTAGAAATTCTGAGTTTTCTCCCAAAAAAAAAAAAAAAATTTCCTGCTTCCAAGCTCTAGAACCCCATCCCCAATTCCTCCTTGCCGCCGGTCCTATTGGCTCGGCCAGAGAATTGGCCGCCGGCCAATTGATCCCACCCGCTGCTAGCCCATCTACCGACCCCCACTTCCCCCTTCCTGCAGCCACCCGTGATCCCTAGCCCACCGCCCAGCATCCACTTTGCCGCCAGATCTCCCCCTTGGACCCAAACGTGTTTGAATTTCCAATTACCCCTAATTAAGCTAATTTCCTAATTGGGTTTCATCCAATTAAGAAAGACATTTAAGGGGATAAATGCTCCTTTTGAAATTCAAATTCTATTCCTTCTTAATAACTCAATTTTGGGAGTTACTTAAAATATAATCAAATTTGAAATTACAATTTCAGATTTGATTGGAGGAATTATTTATTCAAACGTGGGCCCCACTTTCCAAATTCCAAAGTCTCTCTCCTTGCTATATGGCCGGCCACCCTTGTCCCTTAATTATCTCCCTAATTGCCACGTAATCACCTTTTAATATTTCATTTATTCCTTTTTTCCCTCTTAACCAAATTTCAATTTCAAAATCTGAACGTGAAATTAATGTCCGTTTCTTTTCTTCCATAATCAAAACCTGAATTTATAACTCAAATTTTCTCCTCCCACAAAACAGCCACCTCTCCCTCAATCCCACGGCTCAAACCCTCCCCCTCTCCAACCCGCCGCCCCTCTCTCCCTCCCATTGGAGAGCCTCTTGCGGCGACCACCCATTCTCACCTTCAAGAATGCATGGAGGAACCCGAGTGGAACTTCGGGTTTGCGTATGACAACCAAGGAAGAGTTGACATCCTCAAATCACCATTCTTCGACGTAGGCTTTGATTTTGACGACACCGTCGAAGAGTATTTGGATCGGATTCTACCAACACTAGTGGATTCCATCGACGACCACTTTTCCGTCTACACGTGGATCATCAAAGGTCATCCTCCCGTGCCACCTCCACCTCCGAGCTCCTTCTCAACAACGACGTTCCTTGGCTCCTCCCTCCTCGTGGCAACCTCACTACTAGTTTGGACGATCTTCCGCCGCTCAACCTAGTTTCGTAGGAAAGAGAGAAGAGGCCTCAAGGTGAACAACTCCGTATTAGTCATTGGATTCCAGTCACTAGCTTTTAACTTTATGTTTTCCTTTGTATTTGCTTAAATAGTTTGGTTATCTCCTTGTAATTCCTTTGCCTAAACAAGTTAAACACTACGAATTCTTGTAGCCAAATTTAATTTGAAACATGATTATATAATTGGTTGAGCTAGTGTTTAAATCTTCTTTTTAATCTTGTGTAACTCAACTCTTGCATCATATCACATAAGCTGATCCAATTGTGATGAAGGATGAGAAGCGATCGATCAGCAATGCTAATTTGAATCCCTATAATAGAAAATTTCCTCAAAAAGTCGAGAACCGTCATTGTATTGGTGCTTGTTGGAGCCCGTATATGGCTTTTTGTTGTAAGCAATCATGACAGGGATAGTGTCATGAAATCCGCAAGATTGAAAGATGTATTCATTTTTATTTGATCATCTATCCCATGATTGAAACATAAGGGAGAGTCGACATTTAATTTGAATGTAGAGGAAGCAATTTGAGTGAGGAAAGGGAAGAAAATTGGAAGAATGTCAACTAAGTATTCGAGTGTAATTACCTTTAATTTAAGATTTATTTATGTTCAAATTTTTAGAAATTTAAGATCGATGTTATTTCAAGTGTAGGATAAAAAGAAAAAAAAGAAAATTTAGCATTTGAAGTTCTTTCATTTTCTGGCAGCGGAGGAAATGATAAGTAATCTAATTATTATTTACATTCAAATTTATCATTTTGAATTTCTTTAATTGATGAAATAATAAGTTATCATCTAATAGGGAGAAGAAAACTAGTGGTGAATCTCAACTTCAAAAAGAGATTTGAGGTAAGATTGTATTTGGAAAATTTTTATGTGAAATTAATGAAAATTAAAGATGGTAAGATTTATATAATTGGATGTGCAATTTTTGGTTGCATTGCGGAATGCTATCTCAGGGACGAATTATTTGAAAGGAATTGAAGTACAGAAACAATTAAAGTAGGTAATTACAGTTATTTATGAAATTTTCATTGTATTATTTTTATTTAAATTGTAAATGTAATACTTTGTATATTTACTTTACTTTTGTTGAATGTTATTATGTGCAAGATAATGTTAATTCAAATGTATATTCAAATGTATATGTGATAATTAAAAATTGATATATATATATGAAATATTGTATATTGATTTGAAATACCTATAAAGATATATGTAAAGAATCATAAAATAAACTTATAATATGTAAATGAAAGCATAAATGAAAAAGAGAAAAGAAATATGTATTCACCCCCGTATGATACTAGTTGGGGAAGCAACGTACCCGTGCAATTTAAATGGAAATGAAAAAGAAATGGATGTACCTTTATTAGTACATTTAGACGGTGCTCCTATACTAAATGAAAAAGGGAAAAGAATATGTTATTTGATAACGACAAATAGATATATATGTGTGTGTGTGTGTGTGTGTGTGTGTGTGTGTGTCTATGTTGCACCGATATGGATACGGCGACACGAATACGACACGATATGGGACACGTCAATTCTTAAAAATACAAGATACGGGTACGGCGCGGACACGACATTATAATTGTTAAATCATACATAAAAATTAAGAAAGCAATCAAAGCATAATATTTAAAATTACAAAAAAAAAATGACAACAACATCATTTATAACCTTGTAGCTTATAATATCAAAATATAAGTAAGCATTAAATATTTAGTACAACAACAAAAGAATAAACATAAATTGTCTATCACATGAAGTTTCAATTATTCAATAGAATGAATGATATGATTAGCTTCTTCACTGGTTTGTCTTTGAACCTCTATATCATATATCTTCAATAAATATCATAGCTTCTAATTCAGGCTCATCAAGTGAAAGATTAGTAATTTCTAATATTCTCATATCATCAAGAAACTCAAATCCATCTCGGAAATGAGAGAACCTTGCTCGCAACCATGGAAGTAAATATGATGCGTCTTTTTTCGGATTTTTTTTTTGTTTTTCAACGGACACGGGTATCGGATATGCGTGTCCTTTTGAAATTAAATAGTATTTTAATTGGATACGGCTTGGGCGTATCTGACACGTATCGGTGGCGTATCAGAGGCGTATCCGTGTATCGGATACAACACGCCTTCATAAATAGGTGTATCGGTGCAACATAGATGTGTGTGTGTGTGGATACATGTAAATGCAAAAGAAAGCCCATGAATATGTTTCGGTTGTTTAAGTAAAATTGTTATGCTATATGTATGATTTTTCACTGAGTTTACTTGGTAAACTCACTCTATCAAATTAACATTTTCATATAAATCTTCTAATGACTGAAAGAGAAGTATATCTACAGAAGACGACGCTCAAATAAAAACAAGTAAAATGTGTTTATATTTAAATTCATATTCAATGTACAAATAGTGTTAGTGGCTCATTAGTGTTTGAGGAATATTAGTAATTAATGTTATGTATAACTGTGGTAAATATGTATTAACCGTCCGAATATTCATTCCCGCCTCGTTAATTTGAGTCTCTGGGTCGGGTCGTGACAGAAGATGAGAAGGAGAGAGATAGGAAAGCAGCAGAAGTTACTTTTCCTTCAATGGCTGTGATAGCTTGAGTTGTTATGCTTGAGTGGCTGATATAGATTTGCAGAGGTAGTGTCTATACCAATACATGGAAGCTGCAACAGCTCTCTGTGTTGTTATTACGTACATTATAAGTAATAATTTCAACCTAATAAAATGGCGTAATTTTTTTTGAAAAATATTAGCATCATAGAATGCATAAAACACAACCGAACCAGCTTCAAGATCAAAATTCATATATGTTTATGGAGCAGGATTATAGTTGCTGATGCAATAGAGGATAAACATATCTAAGCACGCACAAGCAACAAAATGCTGCATTAAAGCCAGTCAACCAATCACGTTTGAGCCTATATTACTATGTCAATTCTCTAGGATACTATGATAAAATGCTTGTTTTTAAAGTGGAACAGTGGCACACTCAAATACTTATTAACGAGGAAAAAAAAAGCATCAATTTAAAAATATATAATCCAGAATCATATACTAAGCTTAACTTCAGAGTGGCAACTTCAAAACGAAGAAAAATATTACTAAGCATAATCATCCTAATTCCAAGCAGCAGATAGAACATATGAAATCACATCATTTTAGCTTCCTGAGTCCTATAAGCTTAGAAACATAAAAACCATAAGAGATATCTTGCTAACATTCCTTAATATACTAGAACAATACAAGAAGGTGATGTAGACGGGGGAGGGGGGCGCAAATCAAACCCAAAAAAATTGGGTTTTGACTTCCCTTGAGCTTGCTAGCTCATTAATTTTTGAGCTAAGATTTAGCTCATTTTGAGCTGGTTTTTAGTTCATTTATTGAACTAAGAGTTAGCTCATTATGAGCTATGTTTTTACTTCACTTATTAATTTATTAGTAGCTCATTAATTTTTGTCTCTTCTTCTTCCCCTTGTCCATTCGTTTCCCGTGGATGGCTCTTGGGTTCCCGTGCCTTGGCTCCTTGGTTCCCACGGCTGCCTCCTTGGTTCCCACGGCTGCCTCCTTGGTTCTTGTGGTTGCCTCTTCGGGTTCCTGGCTGGGCTGCTTCCAGTGGCTTTTGGGGGGCTTTTCCGTGGCTATGGTGCCTTGTTTCCTGGAGTTGACTGTTGGCTTTTCATTTCCCTTATTTAATTAAGAATATGAAGGGTTTTTGGGGCTGTTTGTATTCCCCTCTCTTGTCTATAAATATAAGATGTTTTGTGGCTGTTTAAAGCATGTTATGTGAATGATTTTTGAAAATGTAAACCTGCGGGTTTTGTTGGAAAAGCTTACGAGCTTGTTCCATCTCTTCTACTCCTCTTCTAGGAAAGCTTGCGAGCTTCTCCTCTTTCATCTTGGCTTCTAACCTCTTCTTCTATCCACAAGTTTACACCACACCTGTATCCTTCTTCTCAAGGAAAGCAACTTTAGGAGTTTATGTCTTTAATTTGTGTTTGTGTCGTTTGTAAGAGTCAAGTTTGTAAGTCTTTTATTTTATATAAGTAAAGTTTGTTTAATTTGTCTTTTTTATGCTTTTTATATTATCTAGAAAGGTTGTATTTTTCTAGCAAAAATTTGGGTCCCTGTATTTTGCTTACATCAGAAGGCATGTATAGTACTTGCTTGCAGAACAATAGAGGGCTATGCTTCGTTCTATAGGTAGCAATTTGCCAATCTTTTACACAGACAAAAGTTTTATTATCACAGATATGTATGGGTATTCTAGAACAAATGAAATGTGATGCGCCATAAACAGGAAAACCGAAAACAATCTTGCCATAATTAATAGCCATAAGACTATACAGTATATGCTAACCTACCATTAAAAATAAATTTAAAATACTTACCGCAACTCAAAAACAGCCAAAGCCAAACGGACAAACTCATTGAAGCCAAAATTAGCACGCCAGCATCCTTAATTCTTCCAAATACTGCTTCTTCTAAAGTTTGGAAGGATAAACAATATAGATCATGATATTTTCTTCCGGTTAATTGGGGACAAAATCAATACCGGCAAGAGAAGTAACAGTGCTGATTTCTCACTAGCTTGTACATCCGCCAAGTTCTACTAAGGGTCATCTTTGATCTCATCCTGCCCTTGACAGTCCTCTGCAATCAAATCATTCTTCAGACCCCTCTGAACACAGCGGTCATTTCTGATCCCAGATTGATGAGATATTCCAAAATAAGATATTACTAAGGACTAGCTACTCATGTTGTTCCACAAAATTTCTCCCTTGGCATTCACCTGCCTAGTGATCCTTCTCAAGCTTGTACATGGAGACATCTTGGCAGCACCAGTTCAGAGTTTTCATGGTAAAACTCTGCAACTGAGGACTATAAACCTGATACGTCTAGGAGACAAAAACAGCAAACACAATGAAAAAACTGCAGAAATATGAATATAGATGGCTGATATTTTATAATAACTTCAATAATAAAAAAAAGATACAAGCGATCTACAATTCAAGAGGTAGATCAACTCTCCCAAACAACCTAGATGCCGCTAGGAAAACCTTTCTAAGTAATCTTTTCCTAAATCAGCCCCCCTTTCCTAATATATTTCCCTCTCCAATTTGAATTTCAATTAGGAAAACATTTCTAATTTATCCCTTCCTTAATTCCTCTTCTCACATATGAAACAATAGGTTTAATGGGCCCCACAATGGGGGCCGAATCCCTTGCCCTTTATGTGATGAGGACATCGACAGACGCTACCGACATGTTTATCGCCGGCGAAACCGCAGATCGACGGCCACGATTCAACGCCTCTAAATTTGATTAAGATGTCATGATGTATTTTATTGTTATTTTATTTTAGTTGCAGTCTTTCCATTTTTACCCCTGTGGAGAGTTACTTTGTTATTGTAGCCCAGAGGGCAATTTCGTATTTTATCTTTGTATGAGTTGAGACCTATATATAGTAGTCTCATGCATTATTTTGAGCTTAATGAATATTTGAATGAAATTGGTGTATTATTTTCTACTTCTTCTTGCATGAGGGCTTGAGAAGGGAGAGAGCTCAAGGAGAGCAAATCGCAAGGCCCACCAGTCGTAGGAAGAGTCCACGGCTCGTGGTTAGTTATCCTATCTGATCATTTGTGATTTCCCTTCATCTTCTCCTCCACCACATCATCAAATTTCCCCCCAACTACTATTGCCGTCGCCCCTTGGAGGATCACCGCCGGCCACATCCACGGCCCCGGCCAACCACCTTGCCGGCGACTTCCCCTCACCCGTCCACCCCATCTCTACGCCATATTCAAATTTGAAATTTGAATTTCGAATTTCAAAATCTTTCCTAATTTGGAATTCCAAATTTGGAAAGTTTTTCAAGACAAATTCCAATTTCGATTTAATTTAAATTGGAATCTTGAATTAATCGCCACATCATCACACCCATTTGGAAACCTCTCTCACCACCATTCTCCCTCTCCCCCTCTCACCTTGCCGCCGGCCCAAGGATGGGCTTCCCCATTAATTGGGTCATTCAATGCTCTCTCTTATTTGAAATTTAAATTGATTTCAAATAAATCTTCCCTCTCAAATTACTTAATTCTGAAATCAATTTCAGATTTGGGAATTAATCCCCTCCTCTCCCCTTTCTTGTAACCGCCGGCCTCCCCTCAAGCTCCCCATTAATTCCCCAATTAAATCTTTAATTACAATTGATTTGAAATTCAAATTTCAAGTCAATTCCCCTCCTAAATTATTCAAAACTGAAACTAAATTCAGATTTGATTAATCCCTCCCATAATTTCCTAAGATATTTTCTCCAAACCTTAGCTCTCCCTCCTTGCATCCGCTGGCTTCATCTTCTCCCTTGAGAATCCCGCCGACCCCCTCCCCTTTCTCTCCTTCTCTCGTGCATTGAGAAGCCTAGAGACGAAGTGGACGGCCCCTCTCCTATTCTCTTCAATGTTGAATGGCGGATCCCGAGCGTGAATGGGGTCTTGTCTTCAACGCCGACAGAAGCATCAACATCCTATGATCTCCGTGCTTCGACGTAGGATTTGAAGACGAAACCACCGTGGAAGAATATTTGGAGCGAGTCATGCCGATCCTTGCAAGCATCATCGACCGACGATTTTCAAATTACAATTGGAGTCTCGACGGCCACCTACGACATCCATCCCCACCGGCTACCTCTCCACCAACGAAGTTCTTCGGCGCCTTCTCTCTAGTGGTGATATCCTTCATCATTTGGATCTTCTTCTCCGCTAAAGCTTACTAATAGTTGAGTGAAACGGCCCTCAAGGTGAAATTATCATTGTTAAGCGTTGGATTTTGTTAATTGTACCTTGCATCTAAATCTCTTGGAATTTTGAATGAATTATTACGGTTAATTTCAATTGTATTTCTTTGGACCTAATAAAGTTAACATTTTCAAATTCTTAATTCACTTTTATGTGCTCGCGTTAAATTTAAAAGGAGCAAAACTTTAATCTTTTAACTTCTTAATTTCTTGAAGTAACTCCTATTGGTTTTCATTTCATATGGTTCACATCATTATGCCCCTAGCCTGTTGTGCTCTCCTGTATCAAAACCCTCCACAAGATTTACACAAAACTAAAAATTTGATGAAAAAAATAATAAGAATGATTGGGCCATAAAAAAGGATCACATATTACATTAACAAAGAACAATACACATATTGCGCTATGAAGAAAATTAAAAGCACAAAGCGAAACATTTGACAGCAAAGTTAAGCATCACCATCAAACGGTCTATAGCATGAGGTTTACTAAATTTTATATTTGGATTTCAGATATTGAAACTTGAAATAAAGAATGATTTCTTTAATGAAACCTTAAGGTGGAAGTATTCATCAAAGAAGTATTCATCCCAACAAAATTAGAAAATCAAAGAAACATCAATAAGATATGTAGACTTAGAAAATTTATATATGGCCTCGTGCAATCTCTTCATGCCTATTTTGATAAATGCTTTAAATATGTTGAAAAGCATAGGTACTTTAAGTGTAAAACTGATCACACTCTCCTTCACCTAAGAAAGAAAAAAGTGATTCTTATCATGTACGCAGTTGAACTTATATTGTCATGAGACTTAGAGGAAGAGTTAATCAGATTAAAAGGATTTCTGATAAGAGAATTTGAGATAAAATACTTGAGAAATCTAAAATCGTTTCTTAGTATGGAAGCGGCACAATCAAAACACAGTATGTTATTTCCCAAAAAGAAATAAATTCTTCGTTTGCTTTAAAAGAAGAATGCTTGGAGATAAGCCTGCAAAAACTCTAATGAATCCAACAAAAAAATGGATCACCACTACTAGCAAACCTATTGATAAAGGTGGGTATAAATGCCTTGTGGGCAAACTCATCTACCTCTATCGCACCCATCCTAACATTGAGTTCCCTATTAGTATTGTAAACTAGTACATAAACAACCCTTACTAAAGACCACATGAAAGTTAATAAATGCATTTTAAGGTACTTCAAAAAAGCACAAAGAAAAGGCATGTTATATAAAAAGTCATCAAACAAAGAAAAAACAATTTTTTAATGGATGCTTATTAAGTTGGAGGCATTAGACTGAAGACCTCTTGTGATTGTACTTATTAGGGAAACAAAATTATATGGACAAGAACGTAATAATCTATAATCTCAAGAAGTACTACTGAAGCTGAATATAGGGCATTGATAATTGGTGTTTGCGAAGGGATGATAGTTAAAAAGATTGTTAAAGGAATAAAATAATCAAGTGAAAATCTCCTAAAGTATACTCTGAAAATCATGTTGCAATAATTATTGCAAAAAAAATATGTCCACTATAATAGGACTAAATACATTAAAAATGGTCAACATTTCATCTCAATAAATTGAATATAGAATAGTCCAACAAAACTAAATTTCAACAAATTCTCAAACTGCATATATCCTCACTAAAGCTTTATCTAGAATGAGTTATGATAAAATAATCAATAAGTTGGGCATAATCAACATATACAACCTAGCTTGAAGGGAGGTCTAAATAATCCTAAGCATGTGGCCAACACATTTCCATCTATAACAACCTAGTATTTTGTTGACAACTTTCCATTTATAGCAATCTAACAATCTGTAGACAATAACTTTCAATCTACAATAATTCCACAATATGTGGATATTGGCTTTTTCATCAATAATGATCTACTAATATGTGAATATTAGCTTTCCATCAACAACAATCTAATAATCCATGGACAATAAAATTTTATTTATATTGCATAGTAAATTTTGGATTCCAAAATTAAAGACAAATTTCTATATTTATTTCTTTTCTTAATAATTATTTATCTACTTAGTAATGTACAAATTCTCATCTTATTTTTTACATAAAATAAGAAAATAATATTTGATCATAAGATTCCCATTTTCAACTCTCTTCTCTTCTCATTCTAATTTTCAAAAGTTTACTATGTGCTAACAGCACTAAAACATACACTCATCAAGAGATTCAAAAATTAAAACTATCCCCCCCCCACAAAGAAAAAAAAAAGTCCCCTTACAAAAAATTCAAACTAACTCGGCATAAAATTTAATTAATCATATAATATTCATATGCCATGTGTAAAACCCGAAAATGGCGCTTTAGTCCTCGCAATTTTGGAGTTATATTAATTGTCTTGTAATGTTTCTTTTATCTTCTTTATGTCCGATCTCTGTTCCCGCCTCGCACTTGCGAGCTAACCGGGCCGGGTCGTGACACCATGCCCCTCCTTACTTTTAATATCAATAAAAATGATATTATAACAACCTATCAAATAATCTAATAAATTATTGTATGTTTGTTATGAAAATGGACTAGTTGGAGGCCAATTTGAGTTGTGACCTTTTTAGCTCAAAGCCAAACCATTGAACATGGTTTAACCTTGCCTTATATGAATTATATAAAGTATAGGCGGGTCAAAAGCAATGATTGAATTGCCTCTTGGGTAATCTAGAGATCCAAGTTTGAGTCACTGAAATAGCCTCTCTACAAATATAAAGATAAGACCATAAACATCAACCCCTCAAACTTTATATTAGCGGGAGCTCCAAGAACTAAGTACACCCTTAACCCTTTTATGAATTATATAAAATCCAACTCCGCAACTACTTCAAAGAAATCATAATGTGTAATGGATTACTAACTAAAATTACCCATATATACATAACATAAGTTTAAAAACATTTTTGGTTCATAAAAGGAAGATTTTTTAAGTATTTAAGATTCTAATACACCTTAAAATAAATCATCAAAAGATATTGAAAAAAAAAACAATACTATATACAACATAGAGCTTCCTTTAGCTCCAGAGAGTAATGATGTTGAGCATTATCACCTGTTAATTACTACATTCTTCACAAAAATGGATCAGTTAGATGCCAATTTAACTAGTTGGAGGCCAATTTGAGTTGTGACCATTTTAGCTACCATTAAACATGGTTTTAACCTTGCCTTATATGAATTATATAAAGTATACGATGGATCAAAAGCAATGATTAAGTTGCCTCTTGGGCGCTCCGCTGCAAGAGTAAAATATGAGACTTCATACACCTCAAAGCTCATAGAACGAAAAAAGGTTCTTTTGAGATCCTTATACTCATTATGCATGGCATCCAATGGACTGAGCATTTACCTTATAGACTATATTGGAAACTTCTGCTTTCCTGAGTGAGGGAGGGAATCACTACTTCGGATGCTCTAGATATCCAAGTTTGCGTCACTGAAATAGCCTTTCTACAAATGTAAAGATAAGGCCATAAACATCAACCCCTCCTCATACTCTATATTAGTGGGAACTCCAAGCAAGTACAACCTTTTAGGAATTATATAAAGTCTAATCACACAAATACTTCAAATAAATCATAATGTGCAATGGATTACTACTATATATGTAACATTGGTTAAAAAACATTTTTGGTTCATAAAAGGAAGATTTTTTAAGTATTTAGATTCTAATACACCTTAAAATAAATCATTAAAAGATATTAAAAAAAGACTACTTACAACACAGAGAGGTTACTTTAGCTCCAAAGAGTAGTGATGTGGAGCATTATCACCTGTTAATTACTACATTCTCCCCAAAAAATGGACTAGTAAGATACCAATTTGACTAGTTGGAGGCCAATTTGAGCTGTGACCATTTTAGCTAAAAGCCAAACCATTGAACATGATTTTAACCTTGTCTTATATGAATTATATAAAATATAGGATGGTTCCAAAGTAATGATTAAGTTGCCTCTTGGGTAATCTAGAGATCCAAATTTAAGTCACTGAAATAGCCTCACTACAAATGTAAAGATAAGGCCATAAACATAAACCCCTCCTCAAACTCTATATTAGTGGGAGCTCCAACCACTACGTACACCCTTTTATGAATTATATAAAGTCTAACCTTGCAAATACTTCAAGGAAATCATAATGTGCAATGGATTAATAACTAAAATTACCCACATATATGTAACATAGGTTAAAAACATTTTTGGTTCATAATAGGAAGATTTCTTAAGTATTTAAGATTCAAATAACCTTAAAATAAATCATTAAAAGAATGATAAAAAAAAGACTATATACAATACAAAAAAAAACTGGAGTTTCCTTTAGCTCTTGCTGACTACATCTTCACCCCCCCCCCCCCAACACAAACAAACATATATATAGTCTGGAAGTTTTCAAAGTGATTATTTTTAGAAAGGAAATGGCTCTTTAAAAAGATTGATATGTTTCAGCTAGATGTGACTAGCCATTATTCATATTACACAAAGCGAAAATATTTATGATCCCAAAAGTATATGAATATCAGCTAATAAAAGAAATGTATTGTACCATTAACAAAAATATAACAGCAAAGCCATGCTTATTATCCAAAAAGAAGATTATTAGAAACACTAAGAGTCAAAACAAAATCAGCAACTTTCATACCAGAACTAGAACAGTAGCGCCATCAAAGCCTTCGTTTGCTTATTGTGAAGTTTGAAAGAATAGACACAAACATAATTTCATCGTCCAATCCAAGGTCAATGTGAAGATCGGTCATCAATGCAAAGAAGGGGCAGATCCAGCAAGAAGTTTGGATTTCTTATACAGTTGCAGTCACGTTGGAATTCCTAGCCCTTTGAAATCCAATCATCCATTAGGAAAGAGTCTTCAGGACCAATGCAGTCCCTTGGATCCGAATATAGTGGGGTATCCCTTAGACGGAGATTGTTTTGGACAAACTCAATATTGCAGAACATTTGCTGTTCGATGCAACTCCTTCCTTTGTCATGTATCTGCTCTGAGACATCCTTTTTAAGCTTGAATCTTGGAGCACCGCTACAAGGCTGGCTTAGGATTTTGATGGCAAATTTTTGCAACTCAGGACTCTGATACCCATAAGATGCCCACCATAACGCTGCAATTTGATGGAACATAAAACTTCAACAGTTCTAAACCTAAGATGGATAGTTCATAACAACAGCCCATAAAAACTCAACATGATTACATTCGATAAAAAAAAAAGGTAAAACCACATAAAAGGATATTTGACCACTATGCCAATGAGACATCCATTTGCTTACCAAATTCAACTATCCAAATTCCATGAAAGGACAAATTAGATTCCTAATGCATGGTAATGAAAAAGCTTTCTTTGCTTACTCTTTCAATTTACCCCTCTACTAATAGCATATGAATATTAAACAAAAACTAAATACAATTAGATTTTCTTGGCTAACTATAAGTTAGAAGGTAGCTTTAGCTAAAAGTTATACAATTTTTAAGTTCATTGTTCATGAAACATAGATCGTATAGATTGTAATTCCGAGTGATTTTATAATTGCTAACACCTTATTTAAGAAAAGAGCGGAGCATCCCATCACTTATAAGAATGATTATAATAAAAATCAGATTGATTATTTTTTTTATAAGAAAATAGATCTTTTAGATTGAAAATATTGTAAAATTATTCTGAGTAAAAGTTTATGTACCCAGCATTACTTATTACTTTAGGACTTTAAGATGAAGGGGGTGAAATATGAAAAATAAAATAAATATTATCCTAGTATTAGATGGGGGCATTTAAAAAACACTAACAAAAATATTTTTAAGAATAAGATTCAAAATCTTAAGATTCTGACTGTACGTGAGAAAGTTAATATTATGTGGGAAAAATAACTAATGATATTAAGAATGCTACAAAGAATGTGCTTGGAGTATCAAAAGAAGAAGCTCCAAATAGTAAAAATAGTTGTTAGTTGAATCAAAATGCGCATGAAAATATCAAAAATAAGAAATTTTGTTATGAAAATTAATTTAGACGTAAAAACTCAAAAAATTGGAAAAGATATAAAGATGCATGTAAAAAGTCTAAGAAAATAATATGTGATGCAAAGAATTTAGCTTTTAATGATTTATTTAATAAAGTAGATACTAAGGAGGGCGAGAGATATATGTATAAGTTAGCCAAGCAAAGAAATAGGATAAATAAGGATTTAATTCAAGTGAAGTACATTAATGATGAAAAAAAATGCTTTTATTAGAAGAGAAAATTCAACAAAAATGGATGAAATATTTTAATAAGCTTTTCATTGAAAATAGTGAGAATATGATTGACTTCAATGACTTTAGCACCCTAAATGAAATTTTTTTTTTTTTTATCGGCAAACTAGTAAAACCGAATTTAGACAGGCTTCAAAAAGAATGTAGCATGAAAAAGTTGTTAAACTTGATGATATTCCAATAAAGGTGTGGAAATACTAAAGAGATGAATGAATTTCTTGGTTTATGAAACTTCTCAATATTATTTTGGAGACTGAAAAGATGTCAGATAAGTGGAAAAGAAGTGTGTTTATTCTTTTTTTTTTTAAGAATAAAGGTGATGTCCAAGAGTGTGTGAATTATAGAGTAATTAAGTTGACGTATCATACTTTAAAACTATGGGAGAGTTGTTGAGTATAGGTTACAATATGATACTAATAATTTTGAAAATCAATTTGGATTCATGGCGGGTAGATCTACTACAAAAGTTATACATTTATTGAGAGGTTTGGTGGAGAGGTATGGAGAGAATAACGAGGATCTACATATGATATTTATTTAGAGAAAGCATATGATAAAAGTTCAAAAGAAGTGCAATGGAGAGTTCTAGAAAAAAAAAGGGTTAATAATATTTATATTCAAGTCATTAAGGATATGTAGGCATGAATTGTTACTTGTGTTCAAACACAAGGTGGTTTGACCAAGTATTTTTCTATTTCAGTTGGATTACATCAAGGATAAACTTTAAGCCCATATCTTTTTTACTTTAGTCATTGATGTTCTCACTAGACATTTGCAAGAGGTTGTACCCTTGTGTATGCTTGATATTCTTCTTGTTGATAAGACTAGAGAGGGAGTTGAAGATAAACTTGAATTATGGAAGTCAACATTAGAGTCTAAAGGTTTTCATTTGATTAAATCTAAAATTGAATATATGGAGTATAATTTCAATAGTAATAGAGTGGGGGAGGATTGTGACTTTGAGCGATCAAATCATTAATAAGAGTACATGTTTTAAAAATCTTGGGTCTATTGTTCAAAGTGATGGTTAAATAAATGGGATATTATAAGTAGAATTCAAGTTGGATGGTTGAAGTGGAGGAATGCATCGGGTTTATTGTGTGATAGAAAAGTCCCGCTCAAACTTAAGGGGAAATTCTACAAGATGGTGCTGAGACCTGCAATTTTTTATGGTGCAGAATGTTGACCATTAAAAGAGAAGCATAATATTAAGTTAAGTGTTGCAAAGATGAGATGCTCGAGTGGATTAGTGGCTTTACTATTAGAGACATGATACAAAACGAGCATATATGCGAAAAGGTTGGAGTAGCCCCAATGGAGGATAAGATGAAAGAGATCTGCATTAGATGGTTTGGTCACATAAAATGGTGACCTTCCAATGACCCGGTTAGGAGAGTAGATGTATTAGATTTGGCCTATGTTAAGAAAGGTAGAGGCAGATCTAAAAAGATTTCGTAAGAAACATTAGAAATTACATTTCTTTATTAGATTTAAATAAGAATTTGACCTATTAACATGACACAATGTAGAAAAAGGATTCATGTAGCCAACCCCACGTAATGGGATAAAGACTTGATGTTGTTGTTGTTATTGTAGTATTGTTCATGAAACAAAAATTTATGTGCTAACAAAAGTTTGGAAAGTACATATATCCATTGAAAATGCCCAGTGGATTTATCAACTCTCTAGCTTGGAGTTGTATTGTCTTCAGCTTATTCCCTGGCCTAGTGTCAAATAAGAGAAAACGTTCCTGTTGTTCTTTTTTTTTACTTTTAATTAAATCACTTTCTTTCACTCTTTGAAGACCATCAAGAAAAGAGCAACATAAGCAGAACGTGAGAATAATGGCATTCCATACATGAAACATTGAATTAAATAGTAAAACAAAACACAAGTGCATCAATTTGTTTCTTCTAATACACAAATTCAAGATTAAAAATTACAATCAGCATTCCAATGCATAGTAATTCATGCTTTCCATGTAAATCTACGAAACTGTACACCTAAAAAACAAATATATTAGATGTTAAAAAAAAAAAAAACTTAAATTTTATCCTCAATTACTAGAAAATGCAACATAGACAATTAGGAATGACTTGACATAATTCAAAAAATTAATTAAGAAAGAAAAAATGATGAAAATTTAAGAAATCCTCATCTACACCTATATGTGTCGAACTAACCAGCAAGTCATCACATCTAAAAAATGACAAGGATAAAAGTACCTTTCCATTTACGTATTATAAAAACCAATGTAAACAAAGCGGATTAACATAAAAGAAAATGAGGCTTCCAAACCTGGTGGCATTTTTGATCTTTGATCCACTGCCATCTCATTGAGGCTTGCCCCTGACAACAATGTATAAGCTTCAAGTTGTGGAACTATCATAGCTTGACTGGTAGGGCCCTCAACCATTCGGACTATGCAACCAAGGAGACCATTAGTGACCTCAGTGTCAACAAAGAAATCATTTGAGCAGAATAAATTTGGATTTAAATAATAACCAGCAGAATGAAGAGGGCAGTGCAGATAATTGTCCCATATTTCATCAATTATAGACCACAGGGGCAGGTATCTTGCTTCTTCACCTCCAAGATTTCCTTTAATTCCTTCTTTTGCTCTATCCATGGCATCATATAAGAATCCCATTGGAGCAGTATCACAACCATCAATCTTTTGCAGAACGCGAATAATTGGATTTGTGACCCTTGTAACATCAGCAGATGCAGCCCAAAAAAAAGGATCATTGACTAGCTCACAAATCTTTTTTCCCAGAGGTTTAGAAGCCAATTCGGAGCTGCTCCATGCTTCCGATCTGAACATTTGAATCAAGTTTTCTCTTTCAGACAATATGTTTCCCAGGGTCAGAAAATCTGAAATTGATTTCAATTTTGATTGTCTAACCAGATAGCTCCCTTGAATGTGCTTCCTCATCAGCTCAAAAGGCAGCAAATGACTGTAAATAAACCTTGTGATGGCCTTCGCATCAAACAAGACTTTCTTCACATGATCCAGCACTCCTATCTTCTCCAAAATGAGATTTATGCAGTAATCTGCACAGACCGTCCAGAATAAAGACCTGTACTTCTCCACTAGCTTCTTACCAGCAGCCTCCATGTAACATGACTTCTCATGGGCAATAACCTGAACAACATTCTGAGCTCCTACCTCCTCAACAACTTTACTGAACAACAAGAACAATGCATCAGCATTGCTGATCGCATCTGATGCATCAACAGATCTTAGGAATATTGTGCCTTGTGGGCTATCTACCAGAAAACGAATCAAGCTTCTTCCCTGTTGGTCAGTCCAACCATCTAACAGGATGCTGCATCCAGTTCTTTCCCAAGAAGATCTAACATTTTCAACATGCCTGCACACTTCTTTTAGTTGCTCATCAAGGATCCACCCCTTAAGCTCATCATGCCTGGGAACCCTAAACCCAAATCCACAGCTAATGCTAGCATCAATCATTTTCTGAAAAGATGATAATTTGATCACATTGGGATCAATACCTGCCTCAATGAAGAAGCAACCTATAAGCTTTGCTACATGTGAGAATGAATCGTCCTTGACTTCCTCCTTCACAATGACATCTGCATCTTCCATCTTGTTTAAAATATGGATGCCACCATAAACGCTTCCACTCTCAAATGGTGGACACTCCATGACATTCTTTCCCTTATCCAATGAAGCTGGTTGACTTGGTCCAGCGTGGTCAACGACATTTTGATTCTCCCCATTTCTCATTTCTGTGCTACCTTCTCCATCACTTGATGTAGGCAAAAGGTGGGTCAGCTTTGATTGCACACGTTTAGGGTCACTTAAAGTAGGTGAGATATGTCTCTTTAGAGGAAGATCAGGATGGTATATCTCCCCAACTTCCTTGAGAAGCCTCTCTTTTTTCTTCTCTAACAACAAACCCTTCATCCGTGCCTTAACATCATCAGGGGCCCCAATGCATGCAGTTACATCATGACCAACACCTCCCAGGTGGTGTTTCAATCTGTTGAATCCACGTACTTCCTTCCCACAATAGTTACACTGCACCCTGCTCTTATCCTTGTCCACGGCCATCCCATGGGCCTCAACTGCATCTCCTGCTTCAGTGTTCATTGCTACCTTAAATAGAGAGAAATTACCAGATAATCACTAACGTACCATGTATCTAAAACCCCACGTAGTAGCATCTATCATAGGCACACTTGTTGATTTAACAAAAAAGCAGCATTCAAACTGAAATGCTAAAATCGTTCATCATCTCCGTATCTCATTATATCAAAAACATCCAACCGGCACCAGTAGGCACCATATTCCTCCCTCTTCAGCTCCCCACAATTTTTCGAAGATTTAAGAAAGGGAAACAACAGAATAGCAAGATAAATCATGAAAGAACAACGAAGTTGAGCAGAACTAAGTGGCATTATCGTACGGAGCTTGAGCGGCCAAAAAAGAAACCCTAAATACTTAACTTCCGAACGAAAAAATCACCCAGAAACCAATAAAAAAATGCTTAAAAAATTATAAACTCAGCTAGGGATTCATTAAACTGTGCAAGGCTGAGCAAATAGTAACACAAAGTTTCGACAGATCAAGTCGCATTATTGCAATCACGCGAATCGAAAGAATACAAACAGGAAAAATAAATAAAAAGAAAAAGTTTTGAGGAGTTCCAAGGAAAGAATCACGCAAACCTACACTGACGCTGCAACCTCTCGATAGCTCCTCGAGTCCTCGGCCTCCGCCGTCCTCTCAGCGGAGGTTTTAGCAAAACGAATACGAACAGAGAGGTGGAGATTTTAGAAAGAGAGGGCATACGCAGGGTTAATGGATCAGTGAGGCGCACTATGACTGCAATTTAGCTGAACCCGGAGGCGGGGTGGGGCCACCCGTATTTGTTGGATTGCCAAATCTGTCATCATACTTCGTGATTTTATTGCTCTGGTTGCACAGTTTTAGATTAACATGTCTTTTCTTTTGGGACATTTAGGTCATTTAAGGCAAATTCATACACACACGATATATACACATAGACTCGAATCTTAGACCTCTTAGTTGAGAGCCTTAGCTCTCAACCAATAGGCCAAGGAAAGTTGTGTGATTAACATGTCTTTTATTTTTGTTGATTAAAAATCCTCAAATTACTTTTCTTACTCAGTTTTTTTAAGATTAAAATATCAGGAATAAGTTTTCTTATTCATACAAAAATTTAAAGTCATTTATTAGCTATTTGATTTGAAGTAAAATAAATATAAATTAATTGGAATTTTAAAATGTTAGTATTTGATTGAATAAAAAAGGAATGCAAAGTAAACTAAAATAAATATAGTGTAAATAATTTTAATTCATTTTTGATATAAACTAAATTCATCTAATTTTGAGCAAGAACTGATTACAACGCAAACAAGTTCGCTTATTTATTGCCACCCAACACCTCCGATCGCCACCACCCACTGGCCGCCGCCACAAGCCATTACCACTGCCAACTACCACCACCGCCAACCACCATCACCGGCATCCATTGCCGGCGCCACTATCTAGCACCACTGTCGGCCGCTCCACAAGTAGTCGGCCACCACTATAGCCACCCGCTACTGGCCATCATCGTCGCTGCCACTCGTCGGGCTGCATCATTTTTGGGCTTTATACTATATTCATTTTACTTCATATCAAACAAAAAAAATTACTTTACACTCATCCGAACAATTCCAAAATATTGCTTTTATATTGTATTACTTTTATACTACATTGATTTTACAATGCATTTTTTTAGCTAATCAAACAAACCCTAAAACTCAAGCCTACTATTATCTTTCATCTTCTTTGTCGATCTCCTTAATAAATTGATTAGACGCCCACCTCCAGATTGAACATATTAAAGATCAAAGCTTTCAACAAATCTATCTCTCTCCATCCTTTCTGATGTCAATAGATTATGAGATTTTTTATTTATTTTGTATTTAGGTTACAATCCTTTCATTGTCCATTCCAATGTCATCCCTCTCATGGTGTTGTTTCGTGCTTGCAAAAAAAAAAAAGATTAGTTTGAGTTCTAAATTTGAACAATTGTTTTGATCGCTAAGTTAAAACCTATATTCGAAGTAGAACTTCAATCCAGTTCGACAAAAGGTTGAACCACTTATATGAGGTTTGAACCTAATTCAAACCCATAATATAGTGTTTGAACTTGGTTTGTATGTGCAATTTGTGTTTGAATCCGGCTTAAACTTAGGCTTCGTTTGAGACAGCTTTCTTACTACTTTCGAAAGCAACTTTCTAGCTCAACAATTTCTACTTCAATAAAATTATGTAAAAAATTATTTTAAAAAACAGTAAGGAAGCCATCCCAAACGAAGCCTTAGTCCAAACTTATGTTTCAAACTTTGAGTTTAAAATTATCTTCAAAATACATTTTCAAAACTGGGCTCGAACTTAATTTGAATATGGAATATGGGGTTTGAACCATATTGGAACCTTATTCAAGCTTCCATTTTGAACAAAGAGTTCAAACATTAGCTATGAAATTGTGTTTGAACTAAGTTCTAAATGATCAAAATTGCAGTGTCTCAAGTTATGTGGATCTAATTCTTGCATTGACTTGCATTCACTTTCATTTGTTTTGCCATGAATACAAATCAATCTCATAGTCTCTCTTCAAAATAAATATTACAATATTTAAATAAAAGACTTCATTTGTGACGACTTTTTTATTGCTTTTTTAAAACAATTTTTTAGTACAAAAAATTACAATTATGGGGGGAGCAGGTTGCATGGGGTTCCGCCCTGCATATGAGTGGTAACATCCATTGGATGCTTTAAAAGTGAAACATACATGAAGTCATCATGGTGCTCATCATATTTTTGTTCTTCATCATCTCTGTCTACTTTAAAATCAATGTACAATACATCATTGGTAGGTGCTAGACCGACAATCATACTTCATGCTCATTTACTACGAGTACAAATTCTTTTCTTTTAGCAAATATTTGATAGTACAATCATACTTCAGGTTGCAGAATCCACCCGATTTTAACTATTCAACGCATAAACAAAGGCTTCAATGCTATACCTTAAATTAAAGTTTTATTATACATATGAATTGGGAAAAAAACAACACCCAAATCTCTTCTATTCTCAAACATCTGTTGAAGTCTTGAATACAAAGATCAGGAACTTATTTCATGCTCAGCTTCAATGCTTGGTTATTGGACTTTCCTCTTCTTGAATTCGGTCACCAAATCTTTATCTTTGGTAGGTGAGGAGATTGAACCGGCGGGTCGCACCGGTGAGGACTGGTCGGAGGACTCGGTCTGCGATTTCAAGGCTTGGTTTTGGTTTGAAGAAACCAAGGAATTTGTTGTATTCTGTTGCTCTTCAATTATCTTCTGCAAGTATCTTGAATGTTCCTCTACGCGTAGCTGCAAAGACCTTTGCACCTGGAATATGCAAAATATGAAGAGAATGGAGTCAAATGAACTGATGATATGACATTGGTGTTTCAAGCTGCTCATCACGTAGATTTTGACAAGGAAAGAAAGCGGTTTAGATAGAACAGTCATATTCTTCTCATTATAATTTTGCCCACAAAGGGAACCCAAATGAGATTGGAACACCTGAGTTCCTATTTTCTTAAAATGGAGGATTTCTGCTTAATTTGTAGTAGTTCCTCCTTTATTTATTAAGAAAACAACAAAAAAAAGAAAGAAAAGAATATTTATATTTGCGGAGAAAGGGGAAATTTATGTTTTAATCGCCTTGCAATTTTATCATTATATCATCGTCAAGTATACTTTGAAAAGTCCCCAAGTATGCACTAGTGCGCGTCGTTTCAATGTGGTGAAAGAATTTGTTAAATGAGTATTCATCCAATATGGTGGGAAAATTTACGAAATAAATACTCGTGAGTGTTTTTCCAACACGAATAGTAAATTTGTGGAATAAGTAATCATGCGCGTTATTCCAACAAAACATAAAAATTTGTGAAAAAAGCATGCGTGCATGCACATTATTCCAAGGCAACAATCTATATTTCTGCTCATGCATGTGATGAAGAACACACATTTTTTTTAGTGTTGGAGTAGAAGGCCCTGATCATGGTGTTGTTAAACACCGACCATCTTGCTTTTTAAGCGAGGTGGGAAGGCCTACCACTTCTGATGGCGCCCCTTACATGTAGGAGATGAGGCTGTCAAATTTTAGTTTGAATGCATCCTTGGGGAACAAAATGCTAATAACTCATTAAACCACAAAAATATGAAAAAAAATAAAATGTGAACAATAACAATATCATTAAGCCTTTATCCTACTATGTTTGGTTAGCTACATGAATCTTTTTTCTTAATTACATCTGATTAAGGCTCAAATTCTCATTTAAACCTAACAATAAAGGGCAATTTCTAATACTTTCTAATAGTCTCTTTAGGTCTATCTCTATCTTTCTTAACATAGATCGGATTAAATATATCTACTCCTAACAACGGCCATCGGAAGGTCAAAATTTTATGTGACCAAACCATCTAGGCGACTCTCTCTAATCTTATCTACCATTGGAGCTACTCTAACCTTTATATATATATACTCATTTGAGTAAAATCTAATATTATTATACTACCTTCATTAGTCGCTCCAAATACATAACCACTACGAATGCTTTTAAAATCTCTTATCATTTACCAATATGTCCATTTAAATCTCCTCTAATAAAAATTCTTTTTTCAAAAGGTATCCTTTGAATTAATATTTTTTTAAGTTATTTCAAAATTTTAATTTTATACACATTCAAACCATCCTGAGGAGCATAAGAACTAATAATATTAATAATTTTATCATCTACAATAATATTAAAGTAGTAATTCTATTAGTTTCTATAACATTATCTTCCAAATTCTTATTAATAATCACATCACCAATTCTAGTAAGACTCCTACCTAAATGTCATTATTTAACTTCTACACTATCAATCTCCTAAACATTTTCTCCAAACCATTTAGCTTTTTGAATACATAAAATATTTATCTTCCTATGAATCATAATATCTATTAATTTCATTAATTTATTTGAAATAAAACCTATATTCTAAATTCTTATCTGATGGGGATGGTAGAGTAACCTAAAGAATTGTGAAAATGATTTAGAGCTCTATTAATTTCTAAACAATACTTAGGTTTGCTTTGATATAAAAATTATTAAAATCTCATTTAATATACGCGTGTTGAGTCAAGTAATATATTGATAGAGTAGAGTATCGATCTCACGAGAAAGAATATTTATTTGCAAATAATAGTACTATTTACTTCAACTACAACAATTATCCTACTCAATAAAAATAAATTTTAGAGAAGATTTAATCATTTAATTTAACATAAAGAATAATTAAATGAAACACTATTGGAATAAATTGTTTTGAATTGATAGAATATAAATACAATATGTTTCCTAATTATTTTCTTTTATATTGATGTTATTCAGAGCATATGCATCACCAACCGCTCTGTCAAGCGTGAATAGACAAATAATAGATTAAACACTTCCAACCTCAATACCACTCTAAACTCGCATAGTCTGTCACCCTATGAAAATCTTAGAAGAGTAAGTAAAGTATGTACTGTTAAAAGTCCCTAATGATAATTCATCTCTATAAATTTGATACATGACAATTACTATGCATATACTTGCATCATACTAATCCAACATATCTGGTTGTGCCTACTTTCCTATTCTCAGGCTCCACATTACACCTGATATTAACTACACATATGATCACTATATGCATTGAATGAAAACCTAGTATATTGAAAACATCATGAAGTTATTGAGGAAGAGAACTCATTAGTATTACATATTTCATTTACACCATCAATCCAAAACTAGAGAAATTAGTCAGACATGAAGAATAAGTGAAACATATTCATTTTCATTAATTAAACAATAGAAAGAAAGTATAGAAGAAAAGATATCATTGGATGAGTTCAATAATCTCCTCTACACTCATCTTTAAACTTACAGAATTGCTTCCACAAACATAAGCCAAACACTCTAATGAAATGTATCTAGTAGTTATTTGAATTTCCTTAGTTGTCATTCATAAGAAAAAAAATCAGAGAAATACTATAAAGATTAAAATTAAACAAGTGATTGAACTCCTCTATTAACATTACAGACAAACTATTCATAGAAAAAGGATTCTGGCTGAAGGTTGGATGGGCTTTGTGGTACTTGGATAGTTGGATGGGCTTTATGGCGCTGACTCTCCTCCGACGTTGCGAGGCTGTCAAACAAAAACTGGGCGCCGTTATGTCCATATTTGGGTGCTCCGACGATGTCAATGATGGCACCACAACTGTATTGTGTTTGAAGCTGCAACGATGTACCATATTTTAAATTTTTTCACCTTTTCTGTGTTTTACTGCATAAACACAACTAAAAGAACACATTTTCACTAATAAATTAACACATAAAACATAACATTATTTACACTTACTACTATCATACTTCTAATTTCATGGACTAGCTTATTTTCCCACATCCATCCATGATGTGGGAACCCTTACTTATTTAACACTGCATGCGGGTGTCAGTGCTACAACACTTACACACTTTTCATTGTTTTCAAATCATACATCGCGTCGATTCCAAGAATCTAACATTAATATAATATATTAAAAATTCATATCAAGATTGTTTGACAAGTTTTATGTTTGCAATTAACTAATTAATGCAACCCTCTACTTTTCTCATCACGAGCTTGGGACCTAACAACGATAATGTTAATACAAATAAAATGTTAAATACATAAAATGAAAATGAGTATTGAATTGAAAATAAACTTACAAGGGACTTATAATGAATGAATCAACTCACTTATGGGTGTAAATAAAATCTCCATATTACACTCAAAACTATCTCAAACACCCCTGAACAAATGAAAACTCAAATGAATTTGAGAAGAGTGCAGTGAGCCAAGCTGCACTCCTATATACAGAAATGAAGAATGATTCCGTGTAGGACCTATCACACAAAATGACAAACATATCCTGAAATACTTAAAAGGATTCTTACTCGCCTTTAATGTCATTGGCTCTGCAACACATACATATATACGGACAAAAGGTGGAAGGAAATCTTTTTCTAAAATTTTGAAATGAAATTTTGCATGCATTTGCACAAAAAATTAAAATTAGATGTTTTCAAATCTCAAGTACATCGAACTATGATCATCAAATTTAAATGTAAGCTTTGAGAAGCATGACAACGCCTTGAGAATAGGTACTGCCTCAAAGCACGTAAAGTTGCTCCAAAAATGCCCCGCTACTTTAAAAGCAAGTGTAATAAATGAAGTATATAGAGAAGCATGTGAATACGTTATACAAATGCATAAAAAAGTGTGTAACAAATGAGCATACCAAAAAATAAAAATGAACATAAATGAGATCCAATCATTTACAAGTATTTTAGTAGAGTCAATAAGGTCATAAATAACGAAGTAAAAATATTTAAACACCTCAATGATGGCCACCTTAAAAGAAAATTTTAATCGGAGGGGTCTATTCTCAAAATTCTTTTTTTAATGTTATAAATATAAATACTTATAGTGATTTCAAAGTCACCTTGATGATGACCGTGTTAAAAATAAATCTCAATCAAATGAGTCAATTATCAAAATCAAATTAACATGTTATAAATATATATACTTTAATTGACTCCAATATCTCCCCAATAATAGCTACGTTGAAAGTAAATCTCAACCGTAAGGGGCTATCTATAAAAATCTCTCAAATCTCGATGTAAATAATTTTGGGGTTATATCTAGATAAAATTATAAAAATTTAAAAATTATATAATATAAAATATTACAAATGAAAATATATTACATAACTTAAAACAAAATCGATCCACCCTCCGCAACTATTTATCGATGGTAATAAATTTGAGAATAACTTCAGCTAAAAAAATCTAATATCTTGCCAAATGTATCATTACAATTCATTCTCAAATAATATCTCATAAGGATGTGACACGTGTCATATAACCGATCGTTATGCAACCAAATAGCACCATAAGTAAACAATTATGATCTGAGCTCTCAGACTGAGTGATTTTGCTACAAAATGACTCCATTAAATTATTTTCATAGTTAGAGCTCATACGTTCCATAATATCTTTGAGTAAGAATAATATGATATATTTGATTAAACAAAAACCCCTATGTTAGCTAATGTCAAATTGAATTTGTCTTCTTAAACAATTATTCACTCTAGATCTACAAAGTCCCCATGGGTGAAATAACACATAATTTTTTATAAAATCATTCGGTAAGGTTGGGTTGACTACCTCTTATAACTAAGCTGATAACGTGTTATTACAGTCCGTTCGAGGGACTCGCTCAGGAGCTGAGAATGAGCTTAACACTGGAGCACGACAGACCAGCTTCGACTACATGTTCCATATAGTTTCCCTCCCCAGTAAGGGCATCCTTAAAAGTTCCTCTCTCAGTTAGACAAATCTTTATCCCTCTCGGCCATAGAAAAGTCTGCCATGCGAGACACATTAACCAATAAGCTAATGATACATATCTCCCCACAAGACATCTCTTGTATCGGATTGACCTCAGGACCATGTCAAGACGCTACTCGCCCCTCTCACCTCAACGGGGCAACCTCATACATGTTTCCTGCTATACGTCGGCCCGATCTCATCCCCTCACCTCAACGAGGTGACCTCAGACCAGCTTACTGTTGACACCGACTCGATCCACAAGTTCATCATACTCACATCCTCTCTCATGGTGATTGCCCTTCACTAGGCATAGATGGCCAAGCTATATCAAAGATATATGAGACAACTATTGTATCCCATACACTTCACATGTAACTCCATAAGCCCTATAAAAAAGGGTGGGGGGGTTGAGAGGAAGTAAGACAGAAAGAGGGGTGACATTTTTTCCTTTTCTTAAGAAAAGGATATTTTGTGTAATTTTCCTCTTTTCTTAGTTTAAGCTTTGTAGTTCAGAGCCATCGCTTTCATTACTCTTGTATATTTGGCTTGGATATTAAAAAGTTATCTAAATCCATATTCTCTCTCTTTTTATATCGTATTCTATGAGGTGTTAAAATAGGTTTTCAAGTAGGGTTCAGATCAAACCTAAAATTGACCATCTCTTAATATGTTTGACCGAAACCAAACTCGTTTGTAAAAACGGGTGAAAAATTTAGGCCTGAACTTGGCTTGGCACCAACTCGACTGAGAGACCCGATCCGCTAACCCGCGAGTGTGAGCAAGCAAGCAAGAGTAAGGGCGAGGGCAAGCGAGCATGCAGCGAGCGCAACGGGTGAGGCGAGAGCCGACCGAGCGAGGCATGTTAAACTGATTATTTTCGGGTTCGCGGGTTAACCCGACCCGACCCGATATATCAATCGGATCAAAAAATAAACATGAACCCAACCCGTTTGTTAAACATGGCGACCCAAACATGACATTTTCGAGTCAGGTCTGGGTTGGCTTTTTAGGGCGGGTCATATATTGGCACCCTCTCATATTCTGACTTCATCAACTTCACTTTCAGAATCTCAGTCTACAGTTGGCCCGAAGTATACCCGACATCATCCACCGAACAAAATAGGATCTAACATCCTCCCAGGTGTGGTGACCGTGGATCTGATGACGAAGGCAAGAAAATTACAATCTATCAGGTAACCGAAGACCTTGGTGAACATGTGAACCCATAATACACCAAGTGCAGCTTCTGAAGTCTATTTAGGACACTCTCGTTGCTGCTAGCGACTAGCCGCAAATCGTCAACATGCCCGAAGGACCAACTAACCTTAATGCTTATCGCGAGCCTCCAAAAAAAGCACATGCTTCAAATACAACAGCCAACACTGCTTGCCTCTAGGCAAGAGATGAAGATCTCAGCCAGCCAGCTAGACGAATCAAAGAAACCAAACCAAGGCCAACCAACACTTTTCCCGATCAAGCATCGAAGCAAGGGCACCTCCCAAGTTCAAGGTATCTCACCTTGATGCTTACAAAGGAAAGACTGATCTCACAAATCACGTGACGACCTTTGAGTCTATATCTTCCCTCCTCGATATCGACAATGCCTCTAGTGTGGTCATCTCTTCTTCATCACTCTCAAAGACTCAGTGTTGTTCACTCGCTTATCCAATGAGGTGATCACCTCCGTCATCGAATTCAAGCAAATATTCGTCGCATACTATGTCGGTGCCCACACTCTCGAAAAGTTCATAAATTTCGTTAAAGATTAGACAAGAACCTGATGAGTCACTAAAAAGCTTCGTACTAAAATTCCAGAAAGAAATGCTTGATGTGAAAGACCTAGAACCAGGTCATTTCCAGTACACACTTGTCCTGCAACAACCGAAGATGTTGGTGAAACTATTGGAACTTTCCAACAGACATGTAAATGCTGAAGAATACAATTGAGTGATTGAATTCTCCACAAGCACTTTATGTAATGGGATCGCCGCAAGGAGAAATCTCCCCCCAAGGAGGGGCAGAGAAAGAACCCAGTCCCAAGAAGGAATTAACTAAGGACTAAGCTTCCAGCGCAATCAACGACACCCCGATCCATACGGGATGCCCACTCAGCTAATACCTTCAAGGATAGAAGCATTGTCAACACCAAGGATCGAGAAAGAAGGTCGCTCACCGACCCTATACATATCCAACCTATACTCTGTTGAGGGTTTCCACGATCGAACTTGTAGAGGCAATTCAGAACAAATAATTTTTCAGGCGTCCACCACTTATAAAGATGGGCAGTGCCCGAGATACCTCGAGATACTGCGCCTTCCACAAAGATCACGGGCATGACACCGAAGAATGTCATCACATGCAAAACCTAGTCGAATAACTCATCAATGTTGGGAAGCTTAAAGAATTCGTCCTTGCCAATTTGAAGCAACCATGGAAAGCCCCAGTGGAAAAAAGCGCCTAAAGGCCCGGCTGACTCGAGCAATCCACATCACCGGAGTAGTGCTCGTCATCATGAGCGGCGATCGAAGGGGTACCCCCGCACGTGTGAAAAAACTGCTAAATGAAGAAGTCAATTTTGCATTGTTCTCGCGATCCATCGAAGGCACACACATCACCATTAGCGGCAAAAATGAACCAGCCTGGGGGAACCTGTACAACGAGGCCATCATCATCACAACCTTAATTGTCAACTATCAAATCGGCATCATTCTGATAGACACGGGGAGTTCAATGAATATAATCTTTAAGACAACTTTCGACAAGAATATGCTTGGCTCTCATCTCACTCCTACTGCAGACATACCGAGCATCAGCGAAGAAATCATATGTCATCGGCTAAACATACAAAGAGAATCTCATCCCATAAAGCAAAAGATCGGGAAAATTACCGCCTTACTCGCCAGGCCCATCCGAGAAGACGTAAAAAGCTACTTGCCGCCAATTTCATTAGGGAAGTCTAATATCTAGATTGGATTTCCAATGTGGCAATGATTTAGAAATCAACAGACAACTGAAGAATATGCAGGTGACAATAAAAGTCTTGCCACCTGCACATGCAAAAAAATTAACTTCCTCCTAATGCCCAATGTAAAGAAGTTAAATACCTTCTATGTCCTTCTAAGGAGAAACTGAAATGAGCATGAAATTCTTTTCAACAAATCAGAAGAGGAATCAATACATGCCATTCACGAACTAAAATGAGGTGACAAGTTGGAAAATGTGACACCAATGATGATCCCCAAAACTTCTTACTAGATCTAAGAAGTCTCATTAAAATTAAGTTTCTCTCAAGTAAACAAATGGCCAAGCTCATCATTTCAACAAGCTTTGAAAATGAGAGCACGGCTGAAAACTTTTGATGCATGGGGAATTCACCGCATGGGATGCCTTGGGTATGCTCAATCTTCATATGTGATACATGCATGATGAGATGTAACACCTCTCTCATGATCTACTTGATGAAAACTTTTAGCATAGCTCTTTGAAGGAGTAGGCCTATCAATAGGTTAGGTTCAAATTGGGACAACCTCAATCTGAATCTGACCCAAATAACTTAAAGATTACACTAAAAAATAGATAGGGTTAGGGTCAAGTCAAATTCAATCCATGAATAATGTAGCGTTAGGTTATCTAAACGGATTTTTGGTTGACCTGAAAGCTTATGAACTCGCATCTGTTGTAGAAATTGAGAAAGATAAATATCTTAATGATCTTAGTGACGATGATTCTCTCATGGTAATGCATTTATCTTGATTCTAATGAAGAAATCAACCCACAACCTATGAAATGATAGCCGCGTACATACAAATGCAAATAAGCACAATGCAACCACAGAGTACATATACATAGGGACTTGCTTCTCTTATTTCTCTCTCACTCCCATCTTCACTTTCTTTCTCTCCTTTGCATCTCCCAATTGTTGGGAAATTTCTATAAGTGGGCCCATATACTTATACATATAAATAAAGTTTTGTACATTATAAGCTATCTAAAATTAAGCCAATTAAATTCATGATCTATTTAAGTATTAAATTATTATTTGGCTTATGTGGCATCTCAATTAAATTTTGTATGGACTTAATTTGTGTAGAGACCGGATATTTATTTTATTTTAATGATGGGCTGAAATGAAATATTTACACTTACAGTATAAAAAGGTCGTGGTCCCCAGTTTAAGCAGTTAAGTTCTCATTTCTCTCATTTCCCATCTTGAGTGAAAAGAAAGGGTCTCTCGCTCTCTTGGAGAACGCCGCTCTAAACGTGGAAGACCGAAAACCTCAATTTTATATTTCAATGGATTCAGGTACGCTTCCGAAAATTCTTCTCGATAATTTAGCATGTCTTTCGGAGACGATCGAATTATTATTTTCGTCTCCTTTAAATCCTAACACCAATCTCTTTCAGGATCACTGCTCTCTCCCTTCAAATTTCCCCTTTTTCAATCTCTCCTCAGCCATTTCTCCCATAAAACCAGTTAGACCCACAACCTTCATCTTCTTTGTTTTTAGTCCCTTCTCGCCTTCTCTCAAACCTGACCTTCTTTCTTCTTCAAAAGTCTAATGCCAAATAAAGGACTGTTGATTGCAAACTCTACACTGCATCAACTTATTTTCCAATGCAATGGTAAGGGTTCAAATCCCTTCACAAAGAAAAGGTGTTGCAAGGAGGAATCTGGAATCACAATATTTGAAGAGTAAATTCTATTATGAACTTCCAGATAAAGCAATCACCTAACATGAGTTGCCATAGATTAGAGTAGATAAGATGCCAAGGCCACAGATATATCCAACCAAATTCACAAAGATATGAAGATCACCTCAAGCTGTTCATGTAGCATCTTTTGAACCTCCATTTGAATTCTGAGCGCCTCTGTAACTTGAATGTTTCTTATACAGAAAAGTAAATACATCATCACAATAAATATTATAGAAATCAAAGGCCAAAAAAATTAGAAACTTACCAACCAAAGTTTCAGATTAAGAAAGGGAGAACTGGAGTAATTTCTTGAAGTAAAGGGATGAGAATTTTTTTGAGTTTTACCTCTTCAAAGCTGTGTCACTATCATGACTACTAGATATTTCTCTCGTGTCTTCAGCATGAGAAGCCTTTTTGTCTTTGCAGGTTTGAAAGGAACAAAAAATAAAGCAGAAATCAGTACAAAAGGTCATTAATGAGTTTCTAAACTATTTAAAGTGAAAACAATTGCATAAAGTTACAAATAAAATCAATGAAGATTTCATAGCGTCAGTTTATAAGATTCATTGTTGGCCAAGTTCTTTCCTTTCGAACTTTGCCTATTTTTTATAATGTATAATGTGAACTACCGAGCAGCCTGCTCAAGGAAATATAATATATATATATATATATATATAATATATAATATTCTATTACCTTATACATATTTGGAGTTTTCTCTAGATAGAAACCTAGCAAATAAATGGCCGGATGGGCTTCGCAGTTTCAAGCTCCTGGGCTGGCGCAATTAAGGACAACCATTTTCTTGGATCTTCCTCTCGTGGAAAAACCAGCTGACGTTACTTCCCTGGATGATAAGTCCAACTATTTTCTCCACATGCCAAGCTACGGATTTGGCTGGATTCGAAGGCAGCTAGCATGGGGTTGCTTGAGGACTAATTTCTAAGGATTCTATCAATTGCTCGTTGTAGTTTTTCATTAAATCCGCAGTAATATTCCAATTTTCCTTTCAGAATAAGATGTGTTAATTTCTTGCCTATTTTTTCACCTTTGTAAAGCTCTATTAACAGGGCAAGTTTTGGCCAACTTAATGAAGCAAACATTTCATCACGTTGTCTATTTTCTTTTCTTATATGTCTCTTTTCTAAGATTATATCAAATATGATTTCGCATTAATCAATGGTCGATGGCTGCATGAGTGTCCTAACCAGGTCAAGCAAAGATCGAGAGAAGTTGGGCTCTTCCTCTTTACCAAGCCAACCCATCAATTCAAGAGTCTTGATGGAGCACTCATCACTTCAAATCACATCTTATAAGTTTAATGAGAAGATCCAATGATCATGTTCGCTTTGCGAGAACTCAAGCCAGCAAGGGTACGCATGAACTATGCTTGCTTAAGATGCTTAAAATATGCAGAAATTTTTCTGGACAGCAAAGTAAAGCATAAAAAAATTCAATTAAATGAGCAAGGGAACGCATGCAAATGAGCCATAAAATGATGACTAACTCCCTAGAAATTTCTAGCACAAGCAAAGCATGCTAGCCATGCTCTGATACCAAGATGATGTGAAACGTACATGCGATGGAGTTACTTTAAGAAATTATAGAGAGAAATTTGAACAAAGTAATCCAAAATAAAATTATCATTTGTAATAAAAGAGTGAACCTAAGAATTCTTAGTTTTAACTCGCTTAGGCAACGAAGAGCGACATTCGATTAACCAATCAATTCAAGAAAATGCAAAGAATAATTGTACGCTACGACAATAAACAAGAATCCACGAATTAATAAAGAGAACATTCACCTTTGGAGCCCATACGCTCAACTAGTCTAGGCTTTAGCGGAAGAAGAGTCTCCACCTTAGACTCGAGGTCGTTCCGAGGAGGAAGGAGCCTTGGATCGTCGTTCTTGGATAGGTGGCCGGAGTATGGAATTCTTGACAGCGATTTCTTGAAGGTGTATTCGGCGACCTGGAATGTCCGGACGGTGTTTGGAGACCTTCTAGCAGGCTGGAAAGCAAGAAAACATGTTCCAAATCTCCTTGGACAGCTGCTGTAGGGTGCTGGAAGTGTTTGGACAGCAATTCTAGATCTCCAATGGTGCAGGACAGCAGGCTGCCTTGGCTGGAATGCTTGAGCACACAGAATATTTTAGGGTGAAGGGAGGAAAACCGTGAGGGGGGACTTGTCGAAATGTCATTAACTGCCTTGCCTTAAGAGGGATTCCTAATTAGGCAGTTAATTAACACGCCAGGATTTGGAATTCACGGGCTTGGCCAAAGCCAGGAGATTCGGCGACAAGGGGGGGCTGCAAGGCAACGGTGGGCTGGGGGCTCACGGCTTGGCTGTTAGCCGTGAGGTTGGGAGGCGGTAGAGAGGTGGCTGCACGGGGAGAGCACCAGGCTGCTGGGACGAGTGCAGGGTTGCGGCCAAAGGCCTGGAGGGCCAATGGAGCCAGCTGCAGAACAGGGTGGGAGGCGGGATTGTTGGGTTGTGGGGAGAAAACCTCAGAATGAATATAATCCGGATGAAATTTCCTTGAGTTCTCACACTACTTGATCATAAAGAAAATTGGAAGAAGGTCTAGAACTCACAAAGAGATCTAGCTCTTCTCAAAACTCACTAAGAGATTTGAGAGAGAGGAGGGTGAACTCACAAAGAGATCATAAGTGAAAAATATTTTTCATTCATCAAAAACTAACTATTACATGAGAAAAGAGCCATATAAATAGACCTCAAAATGACAAAGAAAGTAAAGTACTAAAATGCCCCTTGGGCTACAATAGCTACCAAATACCCATAAGGGTGAAAACAGAAAAATCATAAAATAAAATAAACTACTACATAAATGATGAAAATACAAATCATGATCGTGACCGTCGATCTCCGGCATCTCCTGAAGGTACATGTGTCGAAATCGCTGCTGATGTCCCCATCATTCTCCCCAGGTGGGAGAGAACTCGACCCCGTCGAGTAGATATCTATGGAGCCCTCGTACAACTCTAGGAGATCTAGGTCTAGGCTCTGTAGCTCGTCCTGTCAATCCAAGTATCCTCTACCTCCGGTGTCCCTTTCCAATTAACTCGGTATCTTTGGCGCCCACTTTCCTTTGGGGAAATGACCTCATCATCTAGTATTGCTTCGACCTTCTCCGCTATAGGTGAGTAGGGTAAGTTGGGGAGTGGAGCTAGGTTGGGGGATCTCACCAGGTGGGGTCACACAAGGCTAATTTAAAGAGTGGCTTTTGGGGTTAAGATTCGGGTCCTTCAAAGGCTAACAGGTCTTCTATATTAAATGTATGATTCATGTTAAAGCCCCAAGAGAGGTCCAGTACGTAGGCATTACTATTCTCCTTTGAGATTTCCTTAAAAATGTTCGGTGTTTCGAGCATGCAGCTTCCCGTACCATCACAAAGTCTCCAACTTTTGAATTCTTTGGACCATCTTTTGTTATCAGCAATAATTTTAAGATGGATGTTAGTTTGTTCAATTTTCCTTTTAATTTCGTTGAGTAACTCCTAAAGGTGAAATGCAGATGCAAATGCAAGAGATCGGGTGTGCATGATAAATGACAAGACTCATGAGCTTACAAAAGTTTAAAACAAAAGACAAAATAGGAAGACAACAGACTACAACACTCACACAACATACTAACTCACACGAACACGATACTAGAACAGATGGATGAGTCATAAAAGAGGTCTAAAGTGTTCGGTCTAAGGGAACTGGTGTAGAAGGAGTGATGAAGACGTTCTTAGCTACCAGGGTACTTCTATGGGAAGTCTCAGTTAAACTCATAGGTAGTCTCGTACTGGGAGTAGCGTAATTGAACAGATTAATCCAACTAGGACAGAGATGGTCCTCATCATGGTAGGGCGAGGCTATAACAGGCAAAAAGTAGGAATCAGGAATAAAATAGGATGATTGGTCCTGACTCACATCCATAAGGGGATATCCCAAAGATTCGTCTGCCGGCATTGGACTTATAAGATGGGAAAAAGTTCCTAGGACATCTGTGGGTACAACAGTAAGAGAGAAATCTGGAATGACACGTGTAGTCAAATATAAATCCAAAGGAGCAGCTCCAAAGTTAGATTCTAATGAAACAAAAGGAAGCTCATTATTCAAATTAGGCTCAAAGGATTTCAGACTTAAGGTACTGTCTTCCAAAGTAAAATCAGGTTTGATGTTAATCCTAAGATCCGTAGGTTCCGTTTCACTTGAATCATGTGACAAATTTGATTGACTTACATTCAACTTGAGATTAGCTAAGTCGCCATCAGAACTATCCAAAATTAAATCAGAGTTATCCGAATTCATCTCAGTAATTAAATTAGAATCTTCCTATTTTAATTTCATTGTGTTCAAGGTCAGATCAATCTCTTTCGGGATCAAATCAATATTGTCTAGGCAGACCTTATCCAAAGGGATATCGTTAATGATATTAGACTCAAGAGGGGCTAAGGTCTCGAGGTTAAAAGGTTCTAGACCTCCTAAATCAGGGTTTAAGTCCGGCAGGGGGTCTAACTCAATCACTTCAGTCTCATCCTCAAAGAAGTCCTCGTTATCGATAGTATCCACAAAATGGATGTATTCAGGTTCAGTAGATTTCTTCTTTTTATTGTACTCCTTTATTAAAATAACACTTGTAGGGTCACAGACTGAGGAGGCTAAAGGTTGACTGAGCTGGCTAGAAGTAGGTCCAGGTGGGGACTCATAAGAGAATTGTCCAACAGAAGACTCAGTAGCGGGTCGGCCATCTAGGTTAAGTGACGACCCAAAGGGTGGGGCGGCAACCCTGATGTTACTAATGGGTGGGTGGTCTCGACCACAGTTATGTCCACGGGTTGATCCAACAAAAGGGGTAGGGTGGTGCTCTAGATAATGGCCACTAGTAGAGGGTTGATATTTTAAATTAAGTTCTCTCCTCATGTCTTTCCAAGTAGGGTACTCACCACGAGACTCTTTATGATCTTCCAATTTCATCCAAAATTGAAGAGCTCGATATTTAAGGTGAGACTTAGCGATGCTAATTTGGTTGGGTTCAAGGATATGACATGATTCAAAATAGTCATCTAGTTGTTTAGCTCATTCCCTAAAGTAGTAAGGGTCCGAGAAACCATCAAAGGTAGATAAACGGTAAGGTGACTCTAAGTGAGGTCTTTGCTGTCTAGGATCAGGTCTAAGTTGAGAAGTTGAGTGGGGCATCCTTCGACTAACATGATTGACCGACTGGGTCACGTACCTAGAGTGGGGAGAGTCAGCAAGTTCCTCATTGGTGGTTTTTGTTAGCGAGCCTACAAGATTAACTAGGTCGTCTAACCTCTTTTGAAATCCTATCGAGTCCATTGGAAAGTGCTAAGTGAAGCTTAAAGAAGAATGGGCGCATGATACATCACTTAGACACCAAGTTAGGCTCA